AAGCTATTCCCTCACTTCCCTTTTGCCTGACAACAACTAACTGTCTTAGCTCCACCCACCAGCCTCTTGCTCCTTCAGTCCCTGCAAGCAGACTGAACTCACCATGCCCTGGCAGCTCCTTATATACAAGCCTGCTGGGCCCTGATTGGCTGCTTCCCCTGCAGCCTCATTCATTGGCTGCTTGGAGGACCTCTCTCCTGCTCCTTTCCTGAGATGGGTGTGGCAAGACTTTAAGGCCTCCAAAGAACTCTACCTCTAACAATGACCCTGCAGCATCAGCCCCCAATTCCTGATTTTCCTATAGGCATGCCCTCCAGCACTAACACTAAAGAGCAGCACTGGGCCTTGCTTTCAGTAGCAGAAGGTGTGCTGCCTAGCTCTTCTGAGATTACCGCTGTCAGGTTGTCAGATGCAGCAGCTAATGGAGGCAGGCTTTGGGGAATGCAGCCACTGGAAGAGGGGCAAAGAAGCCAAAGTAGTAATAAGCAGGGGGACCATATCAGCTCCATATCCCCTGTCAGTAGACGTACATGCTCAGGCTAGTTCCTTATTCCCGGAGTTGATAGGTGGCAGAATATATAAGTAACATTTCAGCCTCCTCTTTAAGGCAGTTCTCTGAAAAATTTTCAAAGATATACTGTATATGAGAGAGTGAGAGACTGACTCGCTCTGGACAAGAATACACAATCAGGATGAAACTATTTGTGATTTGACATGCCACACTGACTGATATGGAGAATCACTGACTGCAAGTACATTTCTTTGTTTAGATTTCATAAAATGCCTAACCCCCTACCTTTGTGGGGAAAAGCAATGTTGGAATCGGTCAGGTTTGGAATATCAGTGAAGGAAGATTGATCTATGCAGAGACAATATTTGACATGTTTAAACTCAGCTGCCAAGGAAGGATATATAACAAAGGAAAGCGTTTAACAGAATTTGACTCATGTAGGTGGAGGCACTCTACCCTGAAAAGCAAATCAAACCGGAGGAAAGCAGTTAGGAGTATAATTCAGTCCAAAAAGGCAATCAGTCTGGACATGTTATATCTTGAATTCTGATGGGATACTACCTTTACTACAGACCAATTGTGATGGTGAAATTTATTCCAGTACTGGAAAAAACTATCTAGGTTCAGATACATTTATATAAGCAACATTATGGAATGAAACCATAGTTTAAGAGTGCAAGTTACAGTTGTGTGATGCATTAGTTTTCTTTATAAAAATGCACCAGGGGCTAGGTTAGGCAGCACCCCACTTAGCATGATGGCTTTTGTGAATTCCATTCTGAGATGCCCATCTAACCTAGCACTGAACTCGGGTTTTGTGACCCCCAGTGATTTTCTAGGCACCCAAGTTCCTTTGTGAATCTAGCCATCAGTGCCTCAGTTCCCCAACCGAAAAATGGGGACAATAGTACTTCTCAACTTCACCAGAGTGTTGTGAGGAGAAATACATTAAATACTCAGATGCTACAATGATAGGGGCCATATAAATACCTAAGATATACAGGCCAATCTATAAATTCTACTGCATATTAATGAGATAGACTATTCCAAGGGCAAATTAAAGAGAACATATAGATATAGGCAAGGTCCCATGTATCATTCCACAAGGCATCCTAAGTATTACAGCAGACCAGTGTTAAATTTGGTGGAAAATTAGGAATTATAGAATTATGTCTGATTGATCACAAAAATCATTCAGTACAGGCGCATTACTGACACTGTATGTCTACTTTGCTTTCTGTGTCTTGGTTGAGACAGTGCAGATGATGGGTTCATCTTCTTCATTTGCTTCTACAAACAGGATAGTAAGCAACCATCATCCCAGATTCTCCTGCAGTCTATGGCTCCCTCCTTTGGCTTTTCTAGTTTGATTCCTTTAGATCTGAAAAAAAATTTGTGTGTTACCTCCCTAACTCAAGTTCCTTGATGAAGCCAGGGTTTGGAAAGCCCAGTGGGATGTTAGCCTGTCCTATCTTTACCAAGCCCCAGCAAGCAAATTAGCAGGTAGATGGGAATAGAACTTGCATTCTTGTACTTCATCCTTAATCTAAAAGGATGATAACAGATGTTATACACTGTGGTTCACTTAGACTCTCCCAGCCTTGAGCACTAGACCTGATCAACAAACACAGAACCAACATTAGTCAGCATCCAACCATGCAAATGGGTGACACACATAAAGACATGCTAGTATGGTACAAGCATTCCCTCGTTGCCAGTCTACATGGACAGTCTTATTCCAAAGGTGAACAGCTAATCCAGACCTTATCTCGGTTGGGTTAAGAGTTTCATAGCTCTGAACCATTCTTGTCGTGATCATCTCCGTGTCTATCTTTCTGAGCTCAATTGCTTTCTTGGTAGCACAAGGCATAACAGACACAGTACATTTTAGTCTAGTAACACAATATATAAAATATATGGAAATCAAACTTGCTTTATTGTCAGTGGTGCTGGAACGAGGGGTGCTGTCACACCTCCTGGCTTGAGGTAGTAACAACACTAAATACATTATTTCCATGGTTTCCATAGAATCATAGACTGTCAGGGTTGGAAGGGACCTCACGTGGTCATCTAGTCCAACTCCCTGCTCAAAGCAGGACCAATCCCCAACTAAATCATCCCAGCCAGGGCTTTGTCAAGCCTGACCTTAAAAACCTCTAAGGAAGGAGATTCCACCACCTCCCCAGGTAACCCATTCCAGTGCTTCACCACCCTCCTAGTTAAAAAGTTTTTCCTAATATTCAACCTAAACTTCCCCCACTGCAACTTGAGACCATTACTCTCCTTCAGTCATCTGGTACCACTGAGAACAGTCTAGATCCATCCTCTTTGGAACCCCCTTTCAGGGAGTTCAAAGCAGCTATCAAATCCCCCCTCATTCTTCTCTTCCGCAGACTAAATAATCCCAGTTCCCTCAGCATCCCCTCATAAATCATGTGCTCCAGCCCCCTAATCTTTTTTTTTTTTGCCCTCTGCTGGACTCTTTCCAATTTTTCCACATCCTTCTTGTAGTGTGGGGCCCAAAACTGGACACAGTACTCCAGATGAGGCCTCGCCAATACTGAAGAGAGGGGAAATGATCACATCCCTCAATCTGCTGGCAATGCTCCTACTTATACAGCCCAAAATGCTGTTAGCCTTCTTGGCAACAAGGGCACACTGTTGACTCTCATCCAGTTTCTCATCCACTGTAACTTCTAGGTCCTTTTCTGCATCATCAGTATCCCCACTATAAAAATTGTTCCAGCACCCCTTTATTGTTACTATTTAGGATTAAACTTTCTATGAAACAATGAAAAACCTCCCCCATTGTCCTCTCTTCTCTTCCCCTTCCTCCATTCATTATCTTCCTTGATACTCTTGTCTCTTTGTTTGCCCTCAAGTTAATCTTTTAAAATAATTGTTTTCCTATCTCCTTACATCTCCCTTCTCTTTCATTCCCTGCACTGTGTTCCCCTCAATTTACTCATCCTTCTCCTTCCCTCAAGACCCACTCTGTTCTTTCCCAACATCATCATAAAGTAGCCAGGTCATCTTTGTACTACAATCCCCACAATCCTGTTGTGGGCATGTCAGTGTCTGCAGAATGGCCAGCTAAGGCCAGCCCCTTAACTATGCACTCCCAAAGTGGAGAACTTCTGAAATACAGGACACTGCATGGGCACACACACTGCAGAAGTTCAAGGTTGCCCCAATTCCTAATGGAGCTTGAAGTAAGCCCAGGTCAATGAATGTGAGAAGGATAGCACTGGTGCACCAGTGCCCAAGAGTGAATCTCATTATTAAGTCAGGGAGGAGAAAAATGTTTAGAAAGTCGCTAGTGTGTTATGGGCACTATCAGAATACAAATATTAAAATGATAAAGTACCAGTGGTACTGGACACAGTTGGTTACGCCTTAAATTGAATTATTCACACAGCTTAATTATATGACAAATAACTGGATTGTTACCCCCATCATGAATAAAATTCAGTTGTGGCTGCTGTCATGTCTTTCCCCAGTTTTATTTTCTTTTATACTTAACTTATGTACAAGAACCTCAGCATCCACCCTAACTGCAGAAGCATGTTGCAAATTAGCATGCAAACCACCATGACAGTAGCTGATGGACTCCTAGTAATGTTCTGCAGCATAGGATATTTTGGAAAGGAAGTTTTAGTAAGTGCTGCATTTAGATCATATGTTTCCATTAAATCTTTGCTGAGAAGCAGAGGTGCAAGAGATAGATTTATGTCAGTTACTAGATTTGCAAAAGAGAAGAATGAAAGTTAGTGAGATTCTACTGTATTATCTAAATTTTATTCAACTTTTGGTTCTCACCCCTGCATGCCTAACTGGGGGGAAACTGCTGAAGTTAAAGGGAGTTTTCCCTCAGTACGCACCACAGGATTATGGTCTTAAAATAAAAATAAACCAAGTTTTCCCTAAGAGTACATGGTTAAAAAAAGCCTCAGATGATGCATACACACCCATTATCATAATACAACTATATAATAATGCAGAATACTCAGACCCACATGTACTTTAAAAAAATCACATCACCTGTTTGCAAATGACTGATATGAGAACAAACTATTTTTGGTGACTCCATGCAGTGGCAGGGTGCTAGTGTTGCTTACACTAAGAGTGTTTCCCTGATTCATCTGAGACTGGAAAACAGTGGATTTCCAGGATACAGGTGTGATGGGTTGGACCCCCCTTCTGGGATGCCACCTGATGTATTTGGGGTCTCACTGAGCCGGCCTGGTCCAACAGCCGGCCTGGGCTCCCTCACCTGGTCCTGCTGTGCATGCGCATCTCTTTCCCTCTCTCCCCCCTGCCCTCTCTTCCCCCCCGCCCCGAGTGTAAACCCAAATGATATTGTCTTGCGCTGTAGAGAGGTCTATACAGCATAAGCTCATGAAATTTGCCCCCCTCCCTCACTGTGGAGGAAGATATGCACAGCTTTTTGCACGCCCAGGTATGAAGTGCACAAACTGGGTTTTAGAATAAAAAAAAAGAGTTTATTAACTACAAAAGGTAAATTTTATGTGATTATAAGGGATAGCAAACAGAACAAAGCAGATTACTGAGCAAATAAAACAAAACACACAAACTAGGCTTAAAATATTAAATAAATTGGCTACAAATAGTAATTTCTCACCCTAAATGTTGTTTTATGCAGGTTGTGGAGTTTCCTGAAGGTAAACTGCACTGCTTGCTGCATAGAGTTTCAGGTATTCCTTTTCAGGCCAGACCCTTTCTTAGCCTAGGTCCCATTCCTTCTCCTTAGGACAGTCTTAGATGTTTCTAGCACTCATTCTGGGCGGGGATTCAGTGAATAACCTGCAACCTTGATTGACTCACTTCCCAGCCTTAAATAGGATTTACATATGGCGGGAATCTTCTCCCCCCCAGTCCGACCCCAACCCCATCCTTGTGGAAAATACCCGTAGTCCAAGATGCAATCCAATTTCAGATGACATGATCACATGACCCTACAATGTCAAAGCAGCAACACAGGAAGCTTCTCAGGAGGGCGGGAGATTAGTATCTTCAAAATCTTATTGTTCTCCCTAATGGCCCATTCAGGCTGATTGCATCTGGGGAACACCCACCAGACAGTAGGCAAACTCTTTTGCAATTGATACAGAACTAATATTCCTAACTTCAGATACAGAAATGATACACACATACAAATAGGGTAATCATATTCAGTAAATCATAAAACTTTCCAATGATAACTTACATGACCCATCTTGCAAAAAATACATTTTACTTATGCCATATTCTTATAATAAGCATATTTCTATGAAGAATATGGGGTGTGATGTGACAACAGGAGCTACTGATACATGAATTAACACAATATTGCTGGAGCATTGGAAATAAAGAAGTTGGATACAGAGGCTGTGCTTGTCTGCTTACCAGTAGCAATTACTTTGACTACGTATGATTTGCAGTGATCTCAAGGTTTATTTTTGATAACAGCAGTGGCAGTTTAGGGTTTTGCACCTTGGAAGGAAATGGAGGTGGCAAAGGACTGGATCACATTTGCCGCTGTAGCCTGGCTATTTTTTGCACTTCTTCTCTTGGATAAACGTGATGGCTGTAAGACAAAGCAGAGCATTTAGCTACATATGTTAATCCTTGCTAGTGTATGTGCTGAGTGAGCTCTATACAGTTCTACACTCTACTGGAAATATTTCTTACTGTGAAAATAATCAGACATGGTAGAAAAGATAAATTTTAAAATGACTTTTTGGAAGTTCTCCACTCTGACTTAGGAGGAAACAAAACAAGAGTTATTCAAAAGGAAATCTATGTGTTACATTGTCTTTTCTAGGACATATCATGATGTTTATTTCAATAACTGTTCAGCTTAATTTTCTGTGCTATTTACATATTATAAACCACATCTCCGTGACATCTCCTGGGTGTCACCAACAAATTCAGTCCAAAGTTTAACACATGCATCTCTATCACAGCCATGATAATAGTCCTGGATCCTGCTCCCATTTAACTTAAGGAAAGTATTGCCATTGACTTGAATGTCATTAGAATTGGTCCCAAAAGCTTACTGATATATACATTATGTGCCAATTCTTGCAAGCCCTCACATTCAGAACTTCCAATGATTTCAACAGGAGTTCCAGTTAAAAGACTGGACCCCAATTACCTCATTCAAAGTGGAAACTTAGAAAGGGCCACAAGCTCACAGGGATTAAACTCCTGCAATTTCAGAAGTGGTCTCCTCTAGGAAAAGGGGGCTTTAGGAGTCAGAATGGGAAAGGCCAAATCCTGCCAACCATAGGGTATGTCTACACTGAGCTGGGTGGTGTAATTTCCAGTTCGTGTAGACATCCCATTGCTACCTCTGATCAAACTAACCTGTTAAAAATAGAAGTGTAGCTACAGTGGCACAAGCAGCAGGATAGGCTAGCCACCCAAGTACAATCCCATCTGAAACCCTAGATATGTACTCGGAGTATCTGACCCCTCCTACTGTTCTCCCTGCTGTGCCTACACTTCCATTTTCAGTATGTTAGCTCGAGCAGAGTCATGGAGGAGGGGGAAGAAGAAGTTGTTCCAGGTATGGACCATTTCTGAGAAAAAAGTAGTTTTTAGATAAACTGTTTAGCAATGTTAATGTTTACTTCTCTCTAAATATAAATATATAAGAGAGATTGGGTGATCCCATGATTTCTGCCACTTTGAGTAGCATTTCAAACAGCAAATGAAAACTTGCCCTTCTTGATCAGTTTGGGTTCCAATGCAGATCTGAAACCATAAGAATGGATTTGGATCCATGTGTTTGAATATGAACCACCTGAGAGTGCAGATTTCAGGGTTCTGGTTTGGTTTTATCTCTAAACAGAAGGAGAAATACCTGTTGTCCAGAAGTTATACATGGTACCTCCATCAACAACTGATGGACTTTATTGGGTTTGGTTTGCTGTATGTATGGTAAATTATTTGTCTTTGCCTCTTAAAGCTTTTCTCTCTTCTACTCCCACCCATTCATTTTTTGCTTTGTTAGGTAATCTGATTGTTTTGTATGGAGCTGATATATCAGAAAGGGTGCAGCCTGACATGACATTATGAAACACAACTGGAGATGATGGGATGTTACATTAAATATTTCTGGGATAGATGGGCCTAACACAAATCCCCAGATCTGAATACCCTTACACTTTGGACAAGCTTGTATTGGTCATGGTCAGACCTATTTCTAGTTTCAGGTTGCAAAAAATTGATTTCTGTGTATTCACATCAATTGAATGGAAAGGGGAAAGAAATGTATATAACGGTAAGGATGGGCAAACATTTTGGGGCTAAAGTGAAGAAATTGCTAATCCACTTACCTCATAAAATCTATGATGCTTCATCCTTTTGAAGATAGTGTCAACTGAGTCTTGCTTCTCTTTTGACCCCAACTGGTGGAGAGCTTTGTGACTTGTTATACTGAGAACCTTTGAAAAGTAATTTAGAGCAGTGTAGTTACAGAATAGCCTCCTATGAGCGCAACAGTTTGTACTGATAACCAACAGCCTATATAACAAAGTGTTTCTAAGACTTTTAGCTCACTAAACCAACAACATCTGATTCTGATCTCACACGCTCATAAAAATCCAGTGGATATCTCTTGACTTCAGCTCAATTTCCCCAATTCATAGAAAGGGGAGTTCAGAATCAGTCCCGCCTTGTATTTTATTTTTTCTTTCTGTGAGAAAGCAGGGTGCAAATTTCCAAAGCACATTAGCTGGAAGTGGAAGATCATTATGTGTGCCGGATTGGCTGAATGCTCTTTACCAGCTCTCTGAATGCTCTCCCATCAGCAGGGGGCAGATGTACAGCTATGTGACTGAGCAGAATTTGGGCCTGTATCTCTAATGCAGTTGTTTATATAAATAGTAAGCCAATTAAACTGGAATGAAAAGTCCCATGCAGGTTTAGCATTTGTATGCTCAGTGGGATATGGTATTAGCATATATTGCCCAACACCTTGTGCAAATAGAAGCAATGGTCATTGGGCTGGTTGAAAGAAAAGAGATTGAGCATAAATTTAAGGTCATGAGCTTTGATAGGAGAAGTACAAGACTGAAAGACTCACCTTGCAGAATGGTCTTTAGATCAGTCTTCACAGGAGGCGCCCTGTTATCATGCTAACTACCGTTGAATGGAGATGGATAGGGAGTAATTCAAGCCAAGTCAAAAGAAATTAAATTGAGAAGCAGACAGTTTATAATAGCAAGTCACAGGGTTTGCGATTTTAAAAAATTTCTAATTTTAACAGTTTTTGCTATATCAATGACAATGCTTGAGGTATAAAAGCAGATGAACTTGAACTTACCCTGTATATAGGTATAGAGCCAAACACAACACCAGCCTCTTTGTTTCCTGACTTGAAACTTTCCAAAGGTTGTCTATTAACCTTAAAAATAGAAAACAGAGTCAACATATTTCCAGTTATAGGCAACAGCAAGATAGTAGAGATCACATCTAGTGGAGTTTCCATAAATCTGCATAGGTAACATTCACTCCATATTACTAAAGAAAAAAAAAATCACGTCTACATGTAAAAAAATCCTTGGGTTTGTGTCCAGTTGTGTTTCTGAGCCATATATAAAAACAGCCTAGGAGGTTTTTGTCCAAAAATTGGGGGATGGGGTTCTGCTTGTTTTATAGCGAATGGAGAGTTGACCTAACTAGACCGAGAGCTGAGCCAACAAGTTGGAGGGAAAGGGAGGACTTTTAGTCAGATTATTTAAAACTATTTGAAAACATATTTAACTCCAATGCTTCATGAACACCTGGAACTAGGGAAAAACAGACATGCCATTCCAGATATTTAAACTGATTTTTCAAAACCCTTCAGGCATTCTTTATACAAAATGTAAATATGCTAACGAGGGCATAAGCTCAATTTAAAAAAAAAATAATTTTTAGGTCAGTTTTAACAGTATGTGTTGGTTGGGGGATGTTGCTAAAGGAGGGCTGAGTTCTAACCCCAGTCACCATGGGATGATGGGCTGGGAACTCCCAGGGGACCCCAGTCCCAACTGACAGTGTCATTGCAGAGCAGTCAGGTGGGAAATCTCTTTGAGCATGCAAACTTTCACTCTTCCACTGCCTATCAGGAAAAAAAACAAAACATTTCTTCTGTATGTTGATGGAAAGGCCAAAGTTGTGCAAATGTTGTATGTACTTTGATCATTCATCCATGCAAAAATATGACTGCTAAAACTTACCTAGGTTATTAGATTCCATGTATTTGAGAGTGGAAGTCACTTATATGACATAGTACTGATTTCCCACTAGGAACACAGTTTATGATCATGCAACAGGGAAAAATTATCTAAAAATGAAATACTGTCAGGTTTTCATAAAACACTGAAATATGAGTTTTCTGCAAAAATCAAATTGCATTTTAAAGAAATCCTCTTTTATAGCATCCTCTGGTAGATAATTGAAGTGCACATGCAATTGTTATAGTTTAAGAGGATTCACATCCTCAGAATTTAAAAAGTCCCTCATTAATTTCTTCCCATATATCTCAGGTTTGACTTCTAGACTTCTTAGCTTCAGCACTGGTAGCATCACAGAATTAAAGTTAGTTCACTGAGGTGCATACATGTGATTTGAAAGTGCCTATGCAGACCTTTAGGTACTTACACACACCTTGAAGGATATGCAAATATGCTGAGATGGATTTACATGGTCCCCCACAGAATAAGCAAGATTTTGTCAACCCTTATCAGCAACACTTTCAGAGGTGTCCATGAATTATCAAAGTAACTGAAGACAAGAGCAGTTTCCTCTCACATGTTGATGTGGCCTCTCAGCCCAATCATCTTTTTCAAAAATTACCAACTTAAGTAGTACAAGTCACAAGCTAAAATGCAAATCAGAAGTCACCAGAGCACACACTTGTTGAGTTGTCCCACATTCCAGTCAGCCACTGGGTTCACTTCAGTAGTACAGTATATTTTAATTTTATATGCCATCAGTATTACCAAGTATATTTTTTCACATTGCTCTCCCCCTCTACTGTACCTAAAGCTGCAGTACAATAGATTTGGGTTCTAATCACCAATAGTTCCTCGCTTTGTAGGGAACATTCGACTATCCCACAAAAGCCACATGCATTCCCTTTGATGTAATATCAGGCAATAGGGAAAAATGATGTCTGGAGTCTACGACCAACATAGCTTAATGGGAAACATATTTGGCTGCCTTTGGGGTCAAAGTGGCAGAATACCTCAACCACATGGTTGTCATCACCCTGAAGTCATCACCACACACTCCTGTCATGGGGCCAGGAGGAGTAAGACCCAACCATGCCACTTTTAGAATCCCAGCAAACAGGGGCTAGGAGAAAGGAGGAGCTGGCTGTCAACCTAGGGGGACATGCATCAAAGAGGAGCATATCATCCTCACCCCATTCTTATTACACCAAGGGCAGGGAGAGTGGAGTAGCTGACCATGAACAATAGTGCTGTCTTGTCCCAGACAATCTCTGCCTTGGGGGCATGGGACTCTAGCATTCTGCTGCTATAGTTGCCAGAAAGATTTTTGATCTGCCAGAGGCAGCTCGTGTAGATAATTATATCAGTTCTGTTGGCTACATTAAGGTAATGGCTGACTGTACAGGTGGGGACACAATATCAGGAATTTCAGGAGGATGGCAGGAAGTCCATGCCCCAGCTTGCTTCTTTCTCTCAGCCATTCTAGCATTGGAGAACAGGAATGCCACTTCATTGAGGGGTAGAGGGGAGCTCACATAGCAAAAGGCCACTTAGCTCTCACTGGACTGGCTCTTTTTGGTTTTGCCTTTCCAGTACACCTTGCAGGGAGAGGAGACAATCTGGCCCAAAGGCGACATGTACCAAGCTAGATAGAGGAGCATGTATAAAGCACTTCTACTCAGCTAGAGTTCTGCGAAATGTTCAGATTTTAGATCTCATTAAAACCTTGAAGCGAGGACCAGGCATAAAAAGATTTACCAGCGTTCTCACCTACCTTTCAAGCAAATCTGTGATAATTAGGGTTTGCACGGCTTAGTATATGCGCAATGTACCTCAGGTGGCACATGACCAGGATTCAAAGAATTTGGTACGCTGGTTGGATCATTTATTTTCCCGGGCCAGATACTGATGGGGAGTGTGACGTGAACATGGATCCATGCCCCCCAGGGTTTGCACTCAGTTGAACTTCCCAAGTTTGTATTGAAACCCTATAAAACTTCAAATTTCAAAGGGTTTGCACTGGAACCATGTTCTATGTGGTTTTGATACAAACTAGGGAAGTTCAACAGAGTATCACTCAGACTTGATACTTGGAAGTGTGAAACCATGTGAATTGAAACCCAACAGACAGTTTGCACAAACCTCTTTGATTATTTCTATCCTTTTCTACAAAACAGGCCTCGGGCATTTGTTTTGGGCTATTTTCCAAATGTAAACATCTACCAGAATATTGCATAAAAGAAATACAACTGATTATGTCTCTTCACCTACCTTAGGAGAAGCTAGGGCTTTGAAAAACTTGAAATCCTGATCCACTTCGAAGGGTCTAGGCTTTTTTGAAAGCAAGGATGATTTGGTCAATGATTTCCACCTGTTCACAAGAGATAGGAAGAAAAAAACCTGATGTCTATAAAAAGAGGGCAGCGTACCGTATCACGCACTTAATTAGCTTAGAAATACAATTTGAATTATAATTCATTCTATATCTTTGCAGAATGAAATTTAATGTAGATGCTTGATAAATGTCATGAGATGTTACTTAACACTTCACCAATCCAGGTGGGATTCATTTTCTTTTACTATGTTTGCACCATCTTCAGGCTGGTATGTTTATGTATGGATCAGCAGTTATCAAGACTAAGCTCCAATACACTGTATCATAATGACTCAACATTATTTTCCATCTAGAACATAGTGACAGTATGCCAGGTTCTAGGCATGTGTAATGGTCCTCTCTTGGGTGCATGGCCTAGCAGTCACATCTACAACTCCTGACTGCCAAGGGGGTTGTGGGGAGGGGAGCCCAGGCTCTCTGACTCCACTGGGTTCCGACCCAGGGCCCTTTGGGCTACCAGTAGTCTGGCAACCAAGGCTGCTTAAGACTGTCCTCCCTGGGCCTCTTCCTTTTCTCCACCCCCATTGGGTCAGCTTAGTCCAAGGCTTTTCCCTGGTGAGGAAACCCAAACCACAATAAGTAAAGGACGTTACCAAAGTCCAAGGTCCACAGGATACTTCCCTCTCTAGTTGTCTCAGGGAGGGCCCCTTTGGGCAGCTGTGTCAGAGTCTTGGGTTTCCCTTTGCTCTGCTGGAGCTGTGGACTACAGGTCTGCTCACCTCCAGCCCTGCCACCCAAATGAGCTAGTTCCCTTCCTTTTAATTCCTCCAGCAGATGGAGCATTTGCTGCAGGTGTGGTGGGGCAGGGCCTGGCTGAGCCCCAAATAATCCCTTAACCCCTTGTTGCCCAGTGTGGGGTTTGTACACCCCATCACAGCATGGCATTGCAGAGCTTTTCTGCTGATTCAACTGGTTGCCAGACTACGTGGGCCTCAGCACAAGTTATAAGGAGAAAACATGTAGGGCTAGATCCTCAACTAGTGTATCAACTTAGCCCCATTTACAATTAATGCGGTCATGTTGATTTATACTAGCTAAGGATCTATATATCCTGTCATTCCACTGTTGAGAAGAGTTGAGACAAATTTACATAGAACGCTACTCACTGAAATTCTTCAGCAAGTCAATGAAGCCCTGGCTACTTTCACCAGCTGGGAATCTGGCCAAATGTTTGCAAATGTTTATTTGAATTCGGATAGTCTGCTCGGTTCAATCACATTTGGACCCTTTTTATGTGTATGAACATTTGAGAAACATCTATTCCTTGTATGGATACCGTTATCTCGATTCATTATTTGAAACTTTTAAAACAGCATAATGAATGAGGAAGAGTAATTATTCAATAAGGAAGCAGAAATAATACATATGGATTAAGTGACCCACAAGCTATTTCAGCTATTACAAATAGGGAAAAATGTGCCAAAAATATAGTCTTTGGGAGAAATATTTGCAAACAAAAATATGTTAGCCATGTAATAGTTTACTTGTAATAGTTAATTCACACCAATCTAATTACTGCAGTGTACTCTGTCTACATGGTGTTATATCAACTGGCCACTCTAGCCTCATCTAGCACAGCAGGTCTACACTGCAAACAAAAACCTGCAGCCACCAAGTCTTAGAGCCTGGGTCAATTGACTTGAGCTTGTGCCCTGTATTCAACACCGCCTAAAGGCCCAATCCTGTCAACATTGCCAGGCATAGTTCTTTATTCATGAGTTACTGAACTGACTTCAGTAGGACCATTCACCCTGGGAAGAATTGTTCTTACTGGTAAGTGTTAGCAGGATACAGCCCTACACTTCGGACCTTACAGCAGCATAGCTGTACCGCTACAGCGGTGCCACTGTAAGGTCTCCCTGGTGGCTGCTCTTTGCCGGCAGGAGAGAGCTCCACTGCCGGCATAATTAAAACCATCCCCAACAAGTCACGTTAGCTATATCAGCAAGAGAGCGTTTCCTGCCAACATAGCACTCTCCACACCAACGCTTTTGTCAGTGAAACTTGTGTCGGTCAGGGAGGTGTTTTTTCCGCACCCCTGACCAACCAAAAAAAGTTTTACTGACAAAAGTGCTAGTGTAGACAAAGCCTAAATGATTATGGTCATTAATACTGAAGCATTTCCAAAAAGGCTTTGGCAAAAAGGTAACCTAAAAAGTGAATAGGATGCTGTACTGCGTGCCAGACATATAGTTTAAGTGTTCATCACTTCAGAAGTCTAAGCAACTTTTGTCCAACTTGAACTGCTTTCCTTCCTTGCCAAAGGCTACATTTGGGCCAACTTTCAAACTTCTAGCTTCAGTATTTGATTTCTGCACATGCAACGGTCACTATTTCAGCCAACACACTGGGGATTGAACCAGAGCGAAAAGTATGAGCTGCTGCAGTTTGAGCTAAATCACTGAAGCTGGGCTGAGACATATTCACATCCTCTGTGGATTGCCACAGACAGGAACCTGTAACCCATCCCTCACCAGTGGTTACATAACATTCATGCCAGCTTTGAAGCTCTCAGCTTTGAATTATGAGCACACACCAGAAAATACAGGAAAAATGCATTTTTATTCTAAACCCCCATTCCCTCAACAATTAAGCTAGTTTTGCTTTAACTTTTAGAAGGCTTCATCTTTATGTTGAGATCAGGTAAGAAAAAGTTTTATCTTGAAACTATTTGTTTTTTAGAAGGTACAGTCACCTTTTGGGGGTAAGAGGGAAACAATTTCCCAAACTTAACAAGAGTGTTCATTAAATACATACATTCTGATTAACTTTAGTGATTATCTAATTATCACAGCAGAGAATTAGTAGTTAGAATTCCAGGGCTCCAGTCCTGGCTCTGCCGCTTGCTATATGACTTTGAGTAAGTCACTTAACCACTGTGCCTTAGTTTACTCCTCTGTAAAATGGGGATACAGTCTAACTCACGGAGTATTGTAAAACTTGTTTGCAAAATACACATCCTCAGATGAAAGGTTTTCTAAAAGTGTGATGTGTTTGTTAATAGTCCCTAATGCACATGTAAATAAATGTTTGTGAACTTACTTCTTCCTGTCCAGTATTAGAGGATATTCAAACTTCTGCTTCTTTTCCATGTACTTGCTGTCTTCTTTGATTATAATGGGAAATTCATTAACATCACAGGGCAAAATCAAATCACTGGATTCAGATAATTCAAACACCCTGCGCTGTCCGAAGTAACCAACATAGTGTCCATTTGGTGCGTGCCAGAGCCTAGAGGTGCAGAAGGAGAGATGGAAAAGGTGGGTAAATTTAGAAACTGAAAGAAAGTGAAGTGCCTTTAGAACAATATTATGTAATTTAATAACCCCTTACCAGTGTAGTAAACTAGTTATAAGACAATATCAGAGTTAAGATTGAGTGTACATAGCAAAGAAAGTAAATTAAGGCTAGAAAAACCTTAGAAGAATATTATAATTATAAAAAATAATAATTAAAAACCAAGACATTCAGCGCCAAGGCTAAAATTAAATCTAAAAATGTAAAAGTTTGGAAATGAAGAGTTAAGGCACTTCAAACAACCTCAACTGTCTCTGTAGAGAGATGCTGCCACCAAACGATTTTTAGACGTCAAATTTCCTGGATTTGTTAATTTGTTTCAAAAACTTGAAGTTTACTTTTTTGTTAAGAGCAAATTGCATAATGGGCTATAAAACATTTTTCTTTAGCCAGGAAATTGCTATGATTTAATCTTCAAGATATCACATATGGGGCAAAATAACCTGGCATACTAATTTGACAAGAACCTGCACAAAGTTAAAATGGGATCCAAAAAAGAGCTCATTTCTAGAATGATAGGGCCTTTCTTTATGTGCTCAGTTTCACACAATTGGTAGAAAAGCTTGACTGTCCATCTCTGGACATTTCGAGAGACTGGTGGGGTTCAAACAAACAAAAAGTATCTGAGACTTCTGCGGGGGCGGGGGGGAAGAGTGGATGTATTATATGTAAAGCTAAGCTGTGCACATGCAGAACTGATTTTTTCCTCACCAAAACAGATACCTAAAATTATTTCAGTTCTGAGCTAGACAAAAGTCAGGCAAAAAGGGGAGCTCTGGGAAAAGAGACTCCATAGGTTAAAATCAATAACAAATGTTAGCCATGTCTGTACCTGACAGAACCATCCACAGAGGCCGTCACTACCAGGTTTTTCTCCTCCTCATAGAATAGGCTGACCACTTTGGTGGAATGAGCTCGCCAGTAGAGCTGCTGCTTTATTTGCTGAGGGGAGGAGAGCAAAACAAAACAAAACCCATCGCTGGCCACATTTCAGTCTGCTATGCACTCTAACATTGTTACCAATACAGTGTCCTTACGAAGCTGTCAAGGTTTCTTCCCCACTCTGAACTCTAGGATACAGATGTGGGGACCTGCATGAAAACCTCCTAAGCTTACTTTTACCAGCTTAGGTTAAAACTTCCCCAAGGTACAAACTATTTTACCCTTTGCCTTTGGACTTCCACTGCCACCACCAAATGTTTATCTGGGTGTGTTGGGAAAACACTGTTTGGAAACGTCTTTCCCCTCAAAATCCTCCCAACCCTTGCACCCCACTTCCTGGGGAAGGTTTGGTAAAAATCCTCACCAATTTGCATTGGTGACCACAGACCCAAACCCTTGGATCTTAGAACAATAAAAAAAACTTTCAGTTCTTGAAAAGAAACATTTTAATAGAAGAAACAGTAAAAAGAATCACCTCTGTAAAATCAGGATGGTGAATACCTTACAGGGTAATTAAATTCAAAACATAGAGAATCCCTCTAGGCAAAACCTTAAGTTACAAAAAGACACAAAAACAGGAATATTCATTCTATTCAGCACAGCTATTTTCTCAGCCATTTAAAGAAATCATAATCTAACACATATCTAGATAGATTACTTATTAAATTCTAAGACTCCATTCCTGTTCTGTCCCCGGCAAAAGCATCACACAGACAGACACAGATCCTTTGTTTTTCTCCCTCCTCCCAGCTTTTGAAAGTATCTTGCCTCCTCATTGGTCATTTTGGTCAGGTGCCAGCGAGGTTATCCTAGCTTCTTAACCCTTTACAGGTGAAAGGTTTTTTCCTCTGGCCAGGAGGGATCTTCCCTTTATATTTATGACAGAAGCAAGCTGTCATCAGACCCAAAAGAAGTGAGGTTATGATAGCCCTTAAAACAAGCTGAAGGCAGTGTGCATGAAGACACGAGGCTAAATTCATCCCTAGTGTAACTCCACTGAACACAATGGAGTTATGCCAGGGACATTTTACTTTTGTTCTTCATGTTGTCTGCAGTCTGAAATAGACAATTCAGACCAAAAGGAAAGACTTACTCTTTGTAGATAGGAAGAAACAGGGCTGGCCTTACCATGAGGTGAACTGAGGTGGCCGCCTCAGGTGCCAGACTGTGGTGGGGGCACCACTAGGACCCAGAGTGTCGAAAATTGCATCTGCTGCTTGTGCATATGTATGCTCTCTGCTCTAGATGCACAGAGATGCTGGAGTGCTGTGCTTGAGGAAGGAGGGCACAAGAGACATTACAGGCAGGTAGGAGAAAAGGTGAGAGGGAATAACAGAAAGCAGCAGGAGCTGCAGGGAGAGAGAGGAGGAGGAGCCTCTGATGTACCTCTCTAGTACTCCCAGGAGCCTGGACTGATTAACACCAGCTTCTCAGGGAGCTTCCTGTTTCCTGCTGCTTCCCTGAACCCACTTGAGGAGAACAGGTAGTCGACTGAAGTAGTAGGAGCCAGTTAGCCCTTAAGACGCTGATATCTTCCCTCCCTCAGGACCTGCTACCAGCCTGCTTATTTGTCCCTTTCTGAGTGTTGAGAGCCTCTATAGCTGGCACAGAACAGCAGTCATGAGTGAAAGAAGAAAACGCCACTCTGGGGCAGCATTCAGAAAAAGAAAGGAAGCAAAGGAAGCTTTTCTATCTAAGCAGGAAGGAGCTCTCCTGAGATACATAGACACAAATGTTCACAAGTGAGCCTTCCAGCCCCAGTGAGGATGTGAGTGGTGAGGAGGTGCCTGATCTTCCAGTTAGTCAGAGTGCAGGTGACCTGGCAGCTACTGCACCATCCATATCTCCATCTCAAATGGATGTAACCATGCACATTCCTGAAGAAAAGTGTAGATCAGAGAAGAGTGTGGTGGAGGTGCAAGAAACAGCTGCTGCTGAGTTTAGTTCCTTAAGTCAAGATGATCCAGGACTGTGGACCCACCTGAGCAGTAGCCTGAGGGACTTCCTTGTACTGCATGGGCCATAGCAAGTGAAAAACTTCATGTTCCCCAAAGACAATGAAAATAGCAGTTTCCATCCAACACATTATGGCCTGAAATCTCCAATGGTGACAAAGTGGAGAGGCCATGGCTTATGTACTCAGAAACCCAGAATGCTGCAGACTTTTTTTGTTGCAAACTCATCCAGTCCAATGTTCCAGCCACACTGCATTCTACAGGAACCAAGGACTGGAAAAATCTGTCTAGAAATCTGGCATGCCATGAGAAGGCAGCAAATCACCAGAGAGCATTCCATAGGTGGAAAGAGCTTGAGATGAGACTAAGGTTAAAGGCCACCATAGATGATCAGCATCAAGAGAAGATTGCATCAGAGTTTCTTTACTGACAAAATGTTCTGAAAAGGCTCATTGCCATTGTGAGAATGCCTGCTACCCAAAACTTAGCACTGCGTGGCACTTCAGATCAGCTGTATGTGCCAAACAATGGAAACTTCCTTAAAATTGTGGAGCTGATGGCTGAGTTTGATGCTGTACTCCAGGAGCATCTAAGAAGAGTGACCACCCAAGAAATGTACACACATCATTACCTTGGAAAAACAATTCAAAATGAGATCATACAGTTACTGGCAACAACAGTCAAACAGAAGATTGTGGCAGATCTGAAGTCGGCCAGGTATTACTGTGTTATTCTGTACTGCACACCAGACATCATCCATACGAAACAAATGCCTTTAATGGTGCATTTTGTAACAACAACAGAACCTAGGGAAAATGTCCCTATAATGGTGACTGTCAGCATTTTCTAGAATTTATTGACACTGATGATACTACAGGAGCTGGTATGACAAGTGTGCTTCTTAAAAAGCTGCAAGATACGGGCATTGCGATAGCTGACATGAGAGGCAGGGCTACAATAATGGTGCCAACATGAGAGGAAAGAACAGAGGAGTGCAGACACGGAGAGTTAAGCCCTCAAGCTTTTTTTGTCCCATGCAGTTCTCATTCATTCTCATTCTCATTGAACTTGGTGGTCAGTGATGCAGCATCAGTTTCTAGTGAGGCTGCTGAATTTTTTAATGTAATTCAAAGCATCTTTGTATTTTTCTCTGCATCAACTCATCAATGGCAAATTTTGAAGCAACGTCTGGGAACATCCTCTCTGACACTGAAATTACCGAGTGTCACACGATAGGAAAGTTGAGTGGAGGCAATAAAGCCTATCAAACACCAAATTGGGAAGATAGATGATGCCATAATTGCCATTATGGAGGATAATGCTATGACAGGAACTGTTTGTGGGAGAACAGTGGCAGAGGGAAATGGAATCACCAGAAACGTACATAACTTCAAATTTCTGTGTGGCTTAGTGTCGTGGCATGACATACTCTTTGAAAGAGAGACTCCAAGGTGTTGACCTTGATATGTCTGGAGCAATGGAACAACTGGACAAAGCAAAGTCATACCTACACTCTTACCGGTCAGATGAGGGATTTCAAAACGTTCTGAAGAGTGCACTGGCAGAGGAACCTCACACTGAAGCTATTTTCCCACCCATTCAAGAATACAAGAGTCACCGAAGAAGACGACATTTTGATTAAGAGGCACGGGATAATCCCATAAGAGACCCCAAACAACAATTCAAAATAGAATTCTTTAACCAGGTGCTAGATTGTGCAATACAGTCAGTGGAAGAACGTTTCATGCAGCTCAAGGAACACAGCAGTACATTTGGGACCAGCAATGCAGGGCACTAGAGACAGGGTTGACACATGATGACATACGTGATATTGATGAGAGTGATTTAGGTGATGAATTGAAAGCCCTTTCAAGATACATTTCAGCAGGATCAACTCCAAAGGCTGTTCTGGAATATATGTGCACAAATAAGATGACCACCCTCTTTCCAAATGCTTTTGTTGCTCTGGGCATACTTCTAACACTTCCTGTAACAGTTGCTAATGGAGAATGCAGCTTCTCCAAGCTGAAGTTAATAAAAACACATCTACGCTCCACAGTGACACAGGAGAGGCTGGTCAGCCTTGCAACCATCTCAATAGAGCATGAGCTGGCCCAGACTGTGGACCTTCAGCAGGAAGCAGTTCAAATCTTTGCAACCAAGAAGGCACGGAAAGCACCACTTTGATTATTCAAACAGATAAAAATGCCAGTGTTTACTATGCAGACAAGAAAAGTTACATTTGCTGTTCAGGTGTTTGAAAGTTAAGTGTTACTTCAAATTTTTGAACAAGGCATTTTAAGTTGTTAGTTCTCCTTTGTTGGGGTAGGTAGCAGAGCAGTACCATGAGAGGAGCAGAACAGGAAGAAGGCAGAATTGAGACCTTTCAAAGTTTTGGCCCAAGCGAGGGGACATGGGGATATCATTTGAGCTCCCCACCTCAGGTGCCAAAATGTTGTGGGCCGGCCCTGGGAAGAAAGTGGACTGAACTTGTCTCAGGATAGTGAAGTATAATTCCATTTTTCTCTACCTGTCATATGTGAATGGTAAATTATTTGGGTGGAAAAATGATTTTTCATTCTCACCTTATTTTCATCCTGTGGATCTTCCAGGAATGAGCCAGTATTCCAGTGCATAATATGCCCCTCTGTGTTTTAAAAAAAAACCAAAATCATTTCAAAAGAGGTTCAAACTTCTTAATAAGTGCCCTCTGTTGCTAGATATGCTACCAAGTTAAGATCAGGGTTGGAAGGGACCTCAGGAGGTCATCTAGTCCAACCTGCTGCTCAAAGTAGGACCAAGCCCCAATTTTTGCCCCAGATCCCTAAATGGTCCCCTCAAGGATTGAACTCACAACCCTGGGTTTAACAGGCCAATGCTCAAACCACTGAGCTATCCCTCCCCCCTGAGGGATAAGGACCTGGCTAAGGACAAGGTAGAAGGAAGCCAAGGGTCTTGGCATTGAAAGTTAGTTTTTAGGATAATGTAAATGTCACTTAACTATTTCATTAGCAAACAAAGGAGAAAATGTTAGTCCATATATTACAATGGAATACTGATCTCCAGCCTATTTATGAAGAATGTCATATTAACAGCATAGATTTAACTGTTTGTTAAAAGCATCTAAGAATTTTAAATAATTACAAACACACAAAAACAGTCACCTACTAAGCAGAGTTACCTACTGCATAGCCCAAACATGAGGGAGTTTCAGAGGGGTGACGTTTTTCATTTTAAAATGACAAACTGGACAGAGTTTGATCAATCACATGCATAATGCAAAAGAAAATAATTCATGCCTTTCTAGTGTGCTCATGTGGGATACACAGTCCAAGAGGAGGGAGACTGACCACTGAAATGGGAACATTTACCTTGATATCGTGTCCCTCCACTGCTCTTTGCTGCAGTTTTCTTCCCATGTTACAGTTCCTCCATCACCATTGAAATCTTCCCTTTGTTGCTCTCCCAGTAGGAGGCTTCTGGGTAATCCCAACAGCCACCTTTGGCAGACCAAGTCTCTAGAACTGTACACTTGGGCAGAGAGAAATGTGGGCAGCCCTAGTAGGGAAAGGATGAGAGGGGAGGAGGAGGAGATAGCAGCAGTTGGGCTAACAGACGCTATCCAGGCAATATAGCAATGGGTGTCAGCAGTGGGGAGAAGGGAGGGGTGTGCAGGACACACACAGAGCAGAACTAGTAGGAAAACCTCTTGCAGCCACTTAGAATCTGCAGCCAGTAATATGCAAGCAGGCGGCCAAAAGGGGAAGCCTCAAATGTAGGAGAAAGAGCTATGACACTAGCATGGAATACTCCTCCGTGAGCAGTAAAAAGAACTCCTTGCCGTCCTGTGCAATATGGGATAGTTGATTGGAGAGAAAGCTTTCCCTTTAACCTCTGTCCATTTTTAGGGTATGTCTACACTGCAACCAGGAGTATGATCTGCAGCTCATGTAGACATACCCATGCCAGCTGTACTCTAGCTGGCTCAGCAAAAATAAAAGGATGCCATGGGCGTGGACTTCAGCATGAGTTGCACAAACCCACCTGACCTCCCTGGGTGCATTTGTTTGCATGGCTAGTGCTGAAGCCCACGCCATGGAGTCTTCACATCTATTTTTAGCGAGCTAGCTAGAGTACAGCTAGGGTGGCCATGACCACACAAGCTACCCCATTCATACCCCTGTTGCAATGCAGATGTACCCTTGGTGTCAACCTCAAACCATTGTTACGTTTGAAAGATCTGGAAAAGCTTTTTCCATTTCACTTCTGCCCAGCAGCAGAGCAGGAAGTGTGGAATTACTGTAAGAAACTCTGTTCTCATGGGATTTCCAGCAGGAACAGAAATGTAAGTACCTGATGTCTCATGAGATAGATGGAGACAAAGAAGATTTTTCAGGCCAAGTTTGAAGACACAAAGAGTCACAACGTTTAAAGAGGTTTAGATAAGCTTCAGATAAGCAACCAAACTTTTGCATGTTTTGCCAAATGAAAGCCACCTTCAACCTTTTGAGGTTCACTAAACATTAAATTAACGATCAGAGAAAGGGCTGCTGGCAGAAGCATCAGTAATGCTTTTTCCCCTCACATTGCTGTGTTATTTATGAAACACAGGTCATTGCTGTATACTGAACTTTTCACTGTCCATGAACTAACTGTCTGTGTGCAACAACAGCCGCCAATTTGCTTTTAGTTGCAGCAGCCGGTTATGGAGAAAGTGGGACTTTTGCTTATTCTTAATCTTTGCCCTTAGTCTAAAATGAGGGAATTTAGATGGTAAGTATATGGGAGTTCTTTGTGTAAAGAAAATATAACACACTGCTCTTGCAAGTAGCCTCTGTACTGGCAGTGTTGTTAGCTTCTGGCGTTAACCTGTATTCTTTACTCCCATAGACTCCCCTTTCCTCGATTTTTAATGCAGTTTTGCTTTGGCCCTTCATTGCCACATTCCCAGCATGTTTTTACAATAACCTTTTTCAGCCACTACAAAGAGTCAGGAGAACTGTGACTGAGAAGCAAGTGACTGAGACCACTTACCCTTGGTGGCCGCTAAAAGCATTTTAGAAGAGATATCGGTGCACAGAGCAGTCAGAGGAATTGCAGGATGCTTTGTGAAGGGCAAAACTTCTCTCAGTAAATCTCCCTAAAACAAACAAAGTATAGAGGAAAGCAGACTTTATCCACAAAAAAATCAAAGCAACAGAAATTTTATCATGTTCACGTGATGCAATGTTTTCTGTTGCTTTGATTTTTCATGCATTAAGTAAATAGCAAGCCATATTAGTCAGATTTTATACCAACAACATACATTGAGCTGCTTTATTATACCTGTGGGGTTCAATATCACAGTTAAATAAAACCGTTGAAGTCCCTAAAACCTTTTTATAATATATCTTAATTTATCCACCTAGAATCAAACTCTTCCCCGTCTTGTAACCCATATCGACATCAACCTGATTGCACAATGTGCAAGTCATACCTGACCCTCTACTCATTTATACAGGTGCACAGCCCAATATTGCTACATTATTTTTCAAAGAATAAGTCAGTTAACAGAGCAGAATTCCTCTTATAATTGGAGCAGCAGACTCTGCCTTGCCCATCACAGTCTCAGAAGGCAGAGGACGTAGATAAAGAATGGACCCCAAGGGAGTTACATACCTTTTCAGACAGTTGTCACTAGAATTATTCTAAGCCATGATTTTCCTCCTGTTCCCCTTCCCCCTTCCCTTTGCTACAGCTGTTAAAGCAGCACTAAATTGTGTTCATAGAAATAATGATCAGTGGGAAAAAAAACTCCTATTACTTCATATGTTAGGTGAGAGCAGGATGCTGAAGATGTGGAGCATTTTCTTCTTTCACCCCCAACCCCATCCAAACATACAATCAAATACGTTACCCCAATAGTCCATAGATAGACACAGCCATTTTCATGGGCAGAGGCCAGTATCGGTGAGCATGTATGTCCAGCTATGTTTCTGGAGAAGCCAGAGGCTGATTTTTTGGTGTCAGAGGGTTGCACGTCCTTCTCGTTGGTTGTCTCTTCCCCTTCTGGAATATAATTGACCCCATTATCTTCTTGCCATAGTTCTTACAGTTCTTTCTTTGAACACAAAGCAATGGAACAATGCTAAGAAAAACATTAACTTTGACAAAAGAAAACTTCATTATAAAACAAAAGCCCCTTTGAAAATATTTCATAAATACTAGCAAGGAGCCATGGGGAGAACTTGGAGACACATTGTTTAGGAAATATTCTCATGACACGTCCTGTGCCAAACCGCACCATTCCTGTACAGGTGCGAAGAGCCCTTTTCACAGCATGGGGGCAGATTTCAGAGAGGCGGCATAGAGGGTCCGTGCTCCCCTTGTGTGCCTCACAGCAATGTTCTGCTGCATCTCTAACTGTGGGGGCAGGGCAGGGATATGACCAGGGACCTGCAAAAGTGCAGATTCACTGGTCAGAGTCTTCCAGGGAGTAAAAGTTCAGGGTTGTGGCAGTGGCTACTAGCTCAGCCCTGAGGCTGCAGATGTAGCCCAGGGAGCGGTGCTGATATTCTGCAGGGAGAGAATTCCATCCTTCTCAAAACTACCAACAATCTCTATGCAAAGCTTGTCTGTCTCCTAAGCACTTGACAATTTGGCCTTCTATATTTCCTTCTTTGTTCTCTATTTCTAAAGATATGTGCGTGAACCAAGATATTTATTTTAAGGGTCCGTTTGCTTTTACCTCTAGGTCACTAGCTCAAACCTGACCCATGTGGGTACTGTCACCAGTGGCCTATGTGAAATAATTCAGTGTCCGTTCTGTTGACAGGGACACCCGTCTGGCAGGACCATCAATAGTGACTGTAGCCAAATTCCAGTTTCAGCGTCAATTCCATTCTATTTGGATGCTGCTGCAATCCCATGCTTGGCCTGCCACTGGGGAACACAATTTGCTGTCCAGATTCAAGTAAATACTCCTAGTTGTGTCATCAGCATGCCGCTGATATTTCAGGACCGCAGTCTCTCATTATCTGCCCCAGCTGCCTTCCATGCACACTGATGAAACAGATCCCTACAGAACCCCACACAATCATAGAATATCAGGGTTGGGAGGGACCTCAAGAGGTCATCTAGTCCAACCTCCCACTCAAAGCAGGACCAATCCCCAGTTTTTACCCCAGATCCCTAAATGGCCCCCTCAAGGATTGAACTCACAACCCTGGGTATAGCAGGCCAATGCGCAAACCACTGAGCTATCCCTCACAGGTGGATGAGCAGCTGGGATTTCTATACGCTTTAGCTGATACCTTCAAACATCTTCTTAAAGCCTCTCTGACAACAGGTAGACAGTTTGAAAAATGGGCTTTTCTTCCCCCAGGTTTAAAACACCCTATCCTCCCCAACGACCCAAGAAATCTGCGAGTATAAAGAGCAACACATTCCATACCTACTGTTGCTGGAGACTCTCCATTGTTTACATCTTCCTAAAAACAGGATTTATAAAACAGAAATTGAGCCAGAAAATTGAAAGCAGAAGAGCATACACACAGTACTAGACCTTGACATGCCCGGAGAAACAGTTCTCTAGACTGTCATTATTTAAGGAATGAACTAATTCCCTCAGAGGCTTATGTGGAACTTCTCACTTATATTGTCTCAGCTTCCAAGAAGAGTCTAGACTAAGTTAATTCCTTTCTGGGATAATGAATAGACACACACACTCAGAATATAAATCCATGGGGGTGATTTTCCAAAAGCACAAATGAATGGGAGTTAGGTGCCTTTGCAGATCTCCTCACTAGGTCTTGTCATTGCCTTGAGCAAAAATGGGTAAAATAGCAAAGTTGCAAAGCTTACCCACATGTAGCCCCATTTCAGAAAACAAACGCCTCTTTTTGAAGACTTCAGTCAAATTCTGTCTGCTGCTTCTCTCAAGCACTGCTTTCAACTGTATTTTAACCCCACTCCTAATACAAAGTCCTGTTGGAATTATGTGTGTGGCTTTTCACTCTAAAATCAGTACTTTCACATGGCCTCAACCACATGGTTGGGAGGTGTTGGACAAGTGGGTTGCCTCCAACCTTCATTCCATGTCTATCTATATGGGTCAGTCTGTCAACTACAGTAGAACCTCAGAGTTATAAACACCAGAGTTATGAACTGATAGTCAACCACACACCTCATTTGGAACTGGAAGTACACAATTAAACAGAATCAGAGACCAAAAAAAAAGAAAAAAAAAGTAAATAAAGTACAGTACTGTGTTAAACTTAAACTACTAAAAAAAATAAAAATAAAGGGAAAGCAACATTTTTCTTCTTCATAGTAGAGTTTCAAAGCTGTATTAAGTCAATGTTCAGCTGTAAACTTTTGAAAGAGCAACCATAACATTTTGTTCAGTTACGAACATTTCAGAGTTACAAACAACGGCCATTTCTGAAGTGTCTGTAATTCTGGGGTTCTACTGTATAGAGATGTGAACCCACTGAAGGGTCTCCAAGGGCTATTGTGGGGTGGGCCCAGTTGTTAGGCAGGATCTGTAGGACAGAGTGGAAGATTTCAATAAGTCAGGAGGGAGACTAGGAAGCACAGGGTGCTTCAGGGGTTATAGATGAAGATGACAAGCCTCCTCAGTCTTGTAAATATGTACTGGCCTGTGTATCTTCACGTGCTAACTCCTTGGGACACATTTGACAACCACAACCTGTTGCCATTTCTCTATTTTTAGTACCTCAATGGCTTCACTCAAGTGTGCGGATCAAAATTATGCATATGCCAATTTGGGAATTTAAAAATGTATACACTGTGTTGAGAAAAACAGAGCCTGAGGAAAATTATGAGACAGTAGCACATTTTTAAAAATTTCTGAGTCCCCATCTGAGAATTTCTCCTCACTTTCTTCCACATTGCACCTCTTCCTTCCAGGCTCTGCAGCTCTGCCACTATTCTTCTGGCAGGAAGGGCAGGACAAAACTACCACAAAATCACCAAGTTAGTTCTAATGAAAATACTCCTATCTATCTATCTATCTATCTATCTATTGCTTCAGCCCTTACAAGGAAGTACTTTAAATATGCCAGAGTTATTCATGGCACCCATGTTAGTTTTCCTACAATACAGATGTGACTTCAATGTTCACATTTCATTCTAGAGAATCCCAATGTCCTCATTTTGTGCCCTGTGCCGTTCCCCCTTAAAGCAGGAGATGCTGGTGATATGCATTGTACAAGACCTTTGATATCAGTCGCCTCATGTACCAGCAGCAAGCTGCTGAATGGCGCACACTCCCAAATCCCATCTTCATTTCCATCTTTGTGCTGTGCTTGCCCTCTAGTCTGGGAAGCAAAATGAATCAGACTTCTGGGGAGCATGGGGCCTCTGCATGGCAGAACACTGATCTTGTCAAACCACTGGCTTCTCTGTTTTTGTTTTGTTTTAATCTGCTATATAGAAATTTAGCTTGGATGAAGTGGAAACCAAACAGCCAACATACCTTGTTTAGACTCAAGTGGCTGCCTTCTGCATCCTGTGTGGCAGTCATATCACTTACAAGGGATGAAGTGGTGGAGGAGGAGTGACTAAGGAAAAAAATCCAGAGATATGGCCGATGGCACATAATAAAATATGGGTGACTACTTACATTCTCGGAGATTATGTTAGAGATCTACAGTTAATATTAGCCAGTGCTATTGAAGAAGAAAAAAAAAAGTAGTGTCTCCACTAGGTAGACTAAGTTTTCAAAAATTTTAGAAAGTGACATAAATATGTGAGCAAGATCTGCAAAGATCTGAAACACATACCAAGCCAGAATCTGCACCGATTTCCATCCTATGGAACTGCATGAAGGTCCGAGAGATTGCAGTGAACTAAATTTTCTCTTTATTGATTTTTAAGTAAAGGAGGGAGAGGTCCTAATTGTCTGTTCCAGTTTGTTTGTACATGATGTTTGATCCACTTAGCTTTGTATTAAATGCATAAAATTACATTCAAGTGACATTACAGGCTAAGAGTGTGCAGTAGGGAGATGATGATGAAATATGGCCATTATCTCCTGGAGGCATTGTCCATCATGGCAGGTCCATGACTGCTGGAGACACCTCCCATAGCAATGGTCACTGATACACCCTTTCCATTGTCCTTCTCCTGTATTCAGTGGTGGATTAGCCACTGGGCCAACAGGGCCCTGGCCAACTAGGGGCCCCCGGAAAAATGGATGTTGTTGTGCCCCAACCCACTCCGCCCACCTGGTGCTCTTGCCGGGAAGCAGGGCAAGCCCCCACACTCCTACCCTGGTCTCCGGCAGGAGCACCAGGGAGGAGGCACAGGGGAGAATGCAGGCGGAAGATGTGGGGTGGGGCCCCCCACTTGCTCTGGCCCAGAGGCCCCACAAAATGATAATCGGCCTCTGCCCATATTGGCTCAGCTTCATCAGCATGTCTAGGGGTGAAGGCAAGTGGGCAAAGCCATGGCCCTAATCGCTGCCTGCACTTCTTTGAATTACGAGCACTACTGTGGTATCTCCCAGTGATGGTGCACAAAGAGAGTTTGTGATTTCTCTGATATGACGACTCTGGGCTGGGTACCTGAACTGAGAGCCTCTCCCCTGTGCTCTCAATGACCCTCCCTGCTTGCCGTAAACATCATGAAGGAGGAAGCTGCCTGATTCGAATGCAAAGAGGACAAGAGCCTGGGGGGAGGGAGACTGGAGCTGGCTAGGCAAGCAGACTGGGAGCTAGTCTGAATGGGGAATGTGGGCAGAGGAAGAGACAGATTGGGAAGCTAGGAAGGGTATGAACAGAGAATGCCTGGGCAAGAAATTGGAACTAAAAGTGATTAGATGTGGACACTAGGAATGGGGAGGAAAGTAGGACTGAGATAAGGAGAGCAGAGGGGTGAAACTAGGATTTGCTGGGCAAAGCAATTGGGATGAGATGTCAGGGATGGGGAAGAGAAGACTGGGAGAAGAGAGGTTGGAGGGGACAGGGTAAAAGGGGTTACACTTGTGGGGAACAGGCAGATGAATCTGTGCCCACCACCACACACTCCACTCCATAGCCTGGAATGGAACCTAAGATTCTGAGTCTCACCATGCCTCTGCTGTCAGCAAATATCTATGAAACCCACTGGCAAAATGTCCCATCCCCCTCTAGTGAGGATCCACACAGAGGATGACAACCTACTACTGTTATCAGTTACTCCATTAGCTCAAGTGGCAAAGATCTGTGCTGTGGATCTAAAGGCTCCAACCCTGCATATCACACACACAGGTGTCACTGTGGTGCTCCATGATGGAATTTCTCCTTCTCAGATTTCCCTTTTTAATAACCTAGGAAATCTCTCTCTCTCTCTCTCTCTCTCTCTCTCTCTCACACACACACACACACACACACCATTAAAAGAACATTGTTCAGGTTGCAAAAGAAGTACTCAAAAGTTAAATATGAGGTTGCCTGTGCAACTTTAGTTCAGCTCCCCTGAGCTTATGCATTGATACAGCCATTAATTAAATGATCACGTGCTATTTTTTCCCCCACAACACTCCTGCTTCATTCAGTGCAACGGGGGGACTTGTCTTGGGAGAGAATCAGGGTTGTGTAATGAAGGAGACTGTGGCAGAAGTCAGAAGGTGTGTAGCAAATGAGGCAGGGAACTGCAAGAAAGAAAAAGAAGGGTCTCACGGTTAAGGCAGTTAAATGCTGCCCTAGAGAATTGGATTCTATCCCTGCCTGTGCCATAGAGTTCCTGTGTGATGCTGGGCAAGTCACTTGAGTTGAACATTTCACAGGTTGTCACTAATTGTGTATTCCTAATTTTATGGATGCCCAGTTTGGGCCTGATTTGCAGAAGTGCTGAGCGCACACAGTTGCAGCTGAAATCAATATGGGAGCTGTCCTTTGAACAGAACAATGCTAAGGACTCTGAAAAATCAGATGCTAGTTGTCTCAAATTGAACACCCAAAATTAGTGGATACTTTTGACCTTAATATTTCTGTATATCAATTATCCATCCAGAAAATAGGAATAATAATACCCTGTTATTTCACAGGAATGTTATGAAAATAAATGAATGTCTGAAGCAGTCATGATCACTACAGAAAAATCCATGAGGAAATTAATAATCTTGTCTTCAGAGCAGGGTTTGATAGTGTGCAATAAATAAGGCCTCGGGCCACACTTTGAACAATGGGGAGACAGCAAAATAGCGAATCCATCCATTCATCCTGTGAACTGAATGAGGCAGGGATCCCATGGAACAAGTGGTATGTGATCATGTAATTAAAGACTATCATAACACATATGTGCAAGGGTGCCTCCTTAATTCTGGCATTTCCTAGCCTTTGAGTGCTTCACTTTGCAAGTTTAGCAAATGTTCTTTTAATGTATTTTTGTGTGTGTAATAGTAATAAGCTTCCATGTAATCAGAAACAATAATAGAAAATACAACCTATGCAAAACATGTATGATTCAATGTCATTGCAAGAGCCTCACCTTTCAATAGTCAGAATATTTCCTGACATAAAAAAAATGCAAACTGTGAAACCTAATCACTGCATTTAATTTCATTTACCTGGGTCTCTTTGAAAAAAAAGGGCCAAAAGTTATTGTTTAAGATTGAAAGGCTGATTAACATCTATTAAATGGTTATGGCACATTTAGGTGTAGTAAGTCTGTAAGATGCTTTAAGGATTTAAAATGACATAAGACCACAAACCACCCTACAGATTCAAGGGGGCATAAAGCTGCTTAATTGCTTAAATCCTTAATACTGTATAAGTATTTAATCCAAATTAAGTCCTTAAGGCTGCCAGGTGCCTATGAACATACATTGGAAATTGCGCGCTTGTGAAAACGCACACATGCTCAACCCTGCGCTCTAGACATATGGGCTTTGTGACTGAGCATCTGTCCTGCATACGTTAATTTTTGAGGAATACTGGCCTGCCACTACTATTGTTTATTAAGAGCTGACTATGGACTTGAGGGTTGTACAAATCACAACAATAAAAAACAGCCTCTGCTCCAAACAGCTTACAGTCTACAAAACAGCTTAAAAGAAGGGAAGAGCCACTGCAAAAATCTCAGAAGAGGGGGCAATTTGGGGTTTTAAATAGATTTGTTATATTAACTTCTTATGGAGCAGAAGTGAGGCTTAGGAGGCTTTTGAATGAGGAAGGGGAGGGGCATCTCACATGTAAGGAGACACTGAGGAAGGAATGGGAAAGCTAAGCACCTACTTGGGTTTCTAACTGGATTAATCAAACCCAGTTAATCCAGCTCAGTTCAGCTCTAGGTTATCCTGGGGTAAAAGAGTGGTGGAAAAATTATGCCAGTTTAACAGAGCAAAATTCATAATGCAGTGCATGCCATTCAGTTACCTGGAAGAGAAATCACTCCGGAACAGGAATAGCACAGCATTGACTCCAGATACTTGACCGGTAGCGTCTTGACAAGCCTGATAAGTTTTATCCCTGGAAATAAAGAGGTTTGTACAAGATTTGTCACACACTTCAACACCTATTATGTTTATTACAGTGCGTTGTTCTTAGGTAAGATTATAGACTGAAATGCATAACCGCTTAAGAATTAAACAATTTTTGTTTCCTGGGGTTTAGGTTACATGTAAGTAGTCACATATAATTTTGCAAAGTCAATTGATTGTTATGAATTATGCTGGCTTGACATCTTTAGAAAAGATTGCACTTTTTTTTTTAAACCCATGGAGCAGGCTTAGTGTATGCTGTGCCATTGTAAGCATCCCCACCAGGAACTGAACTGAGAGCCTGGAAGCTGATGGAATGGCTCAGTGGAAAAAAAAAAATCTTTCAGTCAGCCAGGCCTTCTCCCAAGACTCAGCATTTAAGATAAAGAAAAATACATTAACTGAAGCAGAAAATTGCCATAATCTTGGCATTCAGTCCAGTCATGTGAATCATGGGTACAATGCCCTATCTTCATCCAACATTTCCCCTTCCTCTCTCTTCCATGCAGCCACACTAACAGCTCTCCCCTTATGCAAGGGGAGGGAGAAGCAGACCTGTAGTTAAATCTTTTATTCCCCTTTCGTTTCTCCCTCACCCCTTTTTGGGAAAAGAGTTAAGGGAGGAAAAGTGGAATTTCACCCACAATTTCAAAACCAAATTTTTTGAAAAATATAAAATTTTGTTGAAGTTTTAGTGTTGACATTTTGTCCAAAAGAGAAACTGATGAAGATAAAAAACATCACCAAAATCCCATTTTTTATTCAGAATGTTTTTCACGTTAATAAATGTGCCCAGTTCTAATAGCTTCTTCAAAGCCAGAATGTAGTTTTCAAGGTAATTACTTACATGCTTATTAAATGAATTTACTAGAGCTAGGCAAAACTGTTCAGTGGCATGTGACAATTCTTAGGGGGAGATCAGATTTGGGCTGCTAGAAAGTTGGGACCATACAGAGATCACTAGACCATCCTGCCAGTCCCTGGTGGGCAAGATATGGGAAGGCATAGAACAACATTGATTGAGGGAACTCTCAGGGTCTTGGGGTTTCTCCCCTCCCCCCCAATAACTTCAGAGTTTCTGGAGGCTTTAGGAGTGATAACAGTGGTATTTGTAATGACAACTTTTTGGAGCAGTTAATTAGGGAAGAAGGTGTTTTGAAGGGATTTCTCTTTGTCAAACTTGGGCACAAAAAATGAGAAATATTTAAAAGACAAACTGTGAGGATCAAGAGGAGCACCACCAAAAGACAGGGGAAGGGAAAACAAATATGGAATCTGAAACAAGCACCATATTAGTAGCTCTTGGAACCAGCATGAAGGTCAGAAAGTAGACCAGCAGCCACTCAGATGAAAGGAAGAAGAGCTCTCCTAATACAGCTAGATATTGGCAAAGTAGTGATGATCAGTACTGTAGCAGTCCTCTCCAAACCTTCTCTTTCTTCAAAGCCAAACCACTGATGTCTGGAGGAATTCAGTAAAGGATTCTCCTCCAGAAGAAGTGGGGGAGGAAAGGGGGAGTTCCAACCATTCCCACCATCTGCCCACTCATGTCCATCCACACGTGTCACCTTCATGCAAAAAAGTGTAGTCTTCCTTTACCATGTCATCTGGAGATGAGAGGGCTTTCTACTGCTCCACTTCTATCATGTTCAAAGGGCAGCCAGCTGGCTTTGTCCAAGCTCATGAGTCCAAACTCATGAGAAGGTGACTGCCTGGCCTCCCTCTCTACTTCTTTGCGTGGTGTGATGGCATATACAAACACCACACCAGTAAGGAAGGGGTTGAGAAGGTGCAAAGCATGCATGGCTTGGAGGAAGAGCTCAAAAGGAAAGCAGACCAGGTCAGTAGGAGGGTAAACAGTGGAAGTGAATTGATGTACATTCTCAGATCCTGGGAAACAGGACTACAGGATGTCCTAACGCCTGAGGCCTCTGCTGGTCTTGACTTCACCAAACCCACAGAGAAGGGGCTCACGGAACTCAGGTCTGAGGCTTTATCTTTGATTTCAGTTGTTTAATGCCTTGTTTTTAAATGCCAAGAGGGGACTGGTAGGATACAGAAGCATTGCACTTCTGGGTGCATTGCACTTCTGGGTGCAGAACTTTGCTATCAGCTTCTGGACTCTGCATTGGGAACTGGTGGAGAGGGTGGTTCCCAAACAACTCCTAGGCAGGGCAGGAGGCAGAAAGCTTACCCCTGATATGGGGACTCTAGATGAGAAAAGCCCTGAAGCCAGAAGGCTCAAAATTACTAGACCTTGATGCAGAGGGGGCATTGCTGGACTCTTTATATACAATAGTACATTAACATTTGTATTTTCAATACAGTGTAGCCCAAAATACTTAAACTTAAATCAATAAGGTTTAACTTAATTCCATAGGAATTGTCCAGGATATTGCCATATGTGTTACCAAAGTATTACTTACAAGTATCTGACAGTAGCAGATTCAAAATCCCACAAGATTATTGCACCATGTGCATTTCCAGTAGCTATCAAGCTGTATCCTTCTACTTTTAACACATCAAAGCACTTCATTTCTTCACCCAGTGGTAAATTCTAAAGGAAGCATAAATAAGACTTTTACTAAGAAGGACATGACATCTGATAGTGAAATGTTTTAAACAAATGAGTTATGTACAGAAAATGACATTGTACATTGTTGTAAACTCAATGCATTTTATTAGAGTTACACATTATAACATTTGCCATTCTTATGGTGCCTTCCATCCAAAGACCTCAGCATCCCTCTGAGGTAAGACCTATGGTCACTATTAAAGACTGCATTAACTATACCTGAGACCCCAGAGTAGTTTCCTGTTTTAGGGACCAAGGATGAAGTGGGAGGGAATACTCGTGATAAATCCTGGCGAGTGCTGACTTTTTAGATGGCAACCACTGTAAGTATTCTTATGCCCATTTTATGGAGGGGGATACTTGTTCAACATGACATAGGAAGTCCCTGGAAGAACACCCAGGATCATTCTTCTTCCCCTTTGTATTACACTGTTTGCACCATACATTAATACCGGCACAAACATACTTGAACTGAGACATTAACACATCGCAAACATCCAAATGAAATTAACAGCAAGAGCAACTGCACAACACATTGCATTGGACAGGAATTGAGCTACTGGATCAGAGCTATGGACTATCTAGTCCAGTGTCCTGACTCCAACACTGGCCAGCACCACATGATTCAGAGGAAGCTGAAAAATCAAAGTAGGCAGCTGTGGCACAATCTGCCCTCACAAAAAATCTCATCCTAATTCCTAATATTTTGAGATTGGTTTAACCCCTGAAGCAGGAAGTTTTATATTCCTTGCAGTGATCTGTTGGCATCAACTATTATACCTCAGAGGCAGTAGCGTAGCTGGGGGGAGCGGGGCAGCGGGGCAGCGCTCTCCCAACAAGAAGCAGTGGCGCCTTTTAAAGTTTTTCTCACCCGGCGGCACTCCGAGTCTTCAACGGCGGGTCAGGCGGCGCTCCGGGTCTTCGACGGCACTTCAGCCACAGGTCATTCACTCGCTCGGTCTTCGGCGGCATTTCGGCGGTGGGGGGTCCTTCAGTACCGCCAAAGACCGGAGCGAGTGACGGACCCGCCGCCAAAGTGCCGCTGAAGATCCGGAGCGCCGCTGGGTGAGCACAAGCGGGTGGTGCCTTTTTTTATCTCCACTCCCCCTGTTTTCTCCACCTGGCTACGCCACTGCTCAGAGGATTCTTGTTATTCATAGAGACATCCAATCCCTCTTAAAATCTTGCTAAATTCTTGGCCTCAACAACTTCCTGTGGCAATAAATTCCACAGTCTAGCCACACATTGTGTGAAAGAGTATTTCCTTTTTTCAGTCTTGAATTTGCCACATTTCTGTTTCACTGAGTGTCCCCTTGTTCTTGTGTTATTAGGATGGAATATACAGTACTTAAAGCACCATTCTGGCAGATATTCAGCCATTTGCTCAGGGGATGGGGCCCTAGAGTTGCTGGCATGCCTGGCCTCTCTGAGATGGAGAGGGGTCTCTTCTGTTCCACCAAGCCTGATGGGAGGCAGGAGGGAGACCCACTGGACATAGGCAAAAAAAATAAAACGAGGAGGAGCCCAGACACATAAGGACATTGCTAAGGGCACAGCAGGACTCCTCTGGAACTGGCCTCAGGTGACTGGCAGCAAGGAGGAGTGGGAACTGTTGATCTTCACCCCTTTCCCCTGTGGCCCATGGTAAGGAATAGTGGAGCCTAAAGGATTCAATTGATCCCTCTGCAGCGACTCCTCCACACTCTGAACTGAGGCAGAAGGAGTAGAGGTCACAGAGAGTCAGGCCTGAACGTGTCTGAGTAGCAGTTGTTCTCACCACCCAGCAGCAGTAGCTACAGGTGACTCACTACATTTTTCTTCACAACTATCAGGGCTACAAACATACCTAAAAAAATTTGTGAAAGCTGATTCTGCAGAGGTCAGTAACATTGGTCACAATCACCTGGGAACCTATTTGCCCTGGCGAGAGGGATTTGGCAAGCCTGTGTTAAATGTGCCTCATTTCATGAGAAGTATACAGGTAACTCATGTCACCATGGCCATGTCATTTAGAATGGGAGGCAGTGTCCGGTGGCTAGATCACAGGGCTGGCAATCAAGAGATCCGGTTTCTAGCCCTAGGTCTGTCACAGACTTGCTGTTTGATCTTGGATGAGTCTGTTTCTCCACATCTAAGTGCCCTCATCTAAGATAGACATATTTTGGCTATCTCTTCCTTTCTTTGTTGTTGAGAGGATTAATTCATTAAGATTTATGAAGTCCTTTTCACTGCTATTGAGATTTTTGGATGGACATCTCTATTTACTATTTCCAATTTGTACACCAATAAATCAAGGGCCTATTGCCATACCAATGCTTATCTATTTAATCACAACAATTACTAATATCAATAGGTGTCATGTAACTAAATCTCATAGAAATAGTCACCCCTGAAATAAAATATTTTTGGATTTCAATGCAGTGGAAAGTTTAGAACATTTGCCTCTCATACTGCATCTAAATCTCTTACTCACTAGCTGATGTTAGGTAAATAATGCAGAAAATTAAGAGGTGTTCTCACCTGGATTTCATTATTTCTCTTAGGTTCTGTATCAGACAACAGCTGAACATCTGGAAAAAAACCATTTGCTTTCCTGGCATTGGGTTTCAGACATAGAGACATGACTGGATTCCCTTGCAGAATAAGTGACACAGCCTCAGGGAGCTCCCATGTAACAGTCAGATAAGGTTCACCTTCATTACCCTAGTAAAATGACCCATTTAACCAAAGACAAAAATACAAATGTGACATTATCTGATTAAAATATGACCACGCAAACCTTTGTTGCTACCATGGTTGTATAATTGCAACAGATCTTATTCAGAGTGTAACACATGGCCAGAAAGGGTTAAGCAGCTTGCTGGCTAAATGACCCAAGCTTTAAAGTCATGTTAGGAAAGTATGTGAATGGTAAGTAGGGCCTTTCCCTACAAGATAGGCTAGAACTTTGAAGTGAAAACCTGTATTGTTAGAGAATTAGAGGTGATACTAATTGTGTGTGTTTACGTGGCTAATTATTAAACAAGATATAAGTTCCTCTTTGTCACTATAGCTATCGATTCAGAGATCAAAAAAGAATATTAACGTTTAGATGAATCTTGAATGCAATAACGTCATTGTCTATATGTCTCTTTAAAATTTGTAATAGACTGCCTAACGGATAAATTAGCTTATGTTAATCCATGTAGTTAATTACCAGTGAGGTTTGGGAAACAGAAGGCTACATCAAAAGCCTAGTGTTAACCCAGGACTGTATGTCAAGTGGCTGCTAGAAAACTGTATAAAAGACCCTGGGGTCCTGATCCTGTCATCTCAGATCTGCTTGAGGCTTCATGCAGGGGAAGCCTAAGCCATAAGGACTGAGATCCCAGTCCTGACTGGACCACCCTGAATATGAACATTGGACAAAACCTATTAACTATTTCTGAAAGAACTCTTTGCAACTACAAAGCTCACCATCTCTGCTATGAATCTGAATCTCAAGATTGTGCTCATGTCTGTAAGTATACTGATCTTTTAACCAATATTCCCTCTCTTTTCTTTTTTAATAAGTTTTAGTTTAGTTAATAAGAATTGGCTGTAAGTGTGTATTTGTGTAAGATCTGGAATATTCATTAACCTGGGAGGTAATGTGTCCGATCCTTTGGGATTGGTAGAACTTTTTTATATGATGAATAAGATTTTCAGTAATCTTCATCATATTTGACTTGGGTGTCTGGGTGAAGGCCTGAGGCTGGGTTACTTTAAGGGAACTATGTTGTTGGCTTCTGGGTAACCAGTGAGGTATTACAGAAGCTGTTTTGTGTTGTCTTGGTAAATCTAAGTATTGGAATATCCACCAGATTTGAGGATTGTCTACCCAAATCTTTGCAGTTCTTTCTTTATTTTTTTGTGCAGTTCTCTCCTCTTCTCTTTGCAGTTCTAGAGGCATTGTAAAATTAATCAGTGCTGAAGAGGGGTGTTATTTTTTAAAACCATTTCAATATTGAACCACCACCATTTGAAAAAAAAAATTACTGTAAAACATTTAAATCTACTAGGCAGTATTATTTAGCATCTTTCAGATTTAAATTTGATTCACAGTAATGTTTGGGAGGAATGGTTCATGTGGCTACATTTATCTAAGCTGTTAGTAAATTAAATTTAGAGGTTTTTTAATTAACCAAAAATAGCAAATTCAATTAACTGATTATTTCAAGTTTTATAGTACGTTAATTTGTAAAGCAGCTCCATACACTGTGACTATTCTCCTCCATAGCAACATTCAGAGAGATAAAGAAGGCTGCATAAATTCTTATTTTTCCAAACATTTGATATTTTCATGCTCATAACCACAGTGTATAACTTTTTATTACAGAAATTTCATCCAGATGCAATCAGAAAACTGTTCTTTTGTCCATGACCTTACTATGCCTAAGAGTGTATGTTGTTTATGCAATCCTATGGTTGTATGTATTGGGATTATGATTATGTAACTTGACTGTATGAGTGCATTGTGGCAGAGTGGGCTAGGTCTGTGTCAAATTATGAACAGAGAGAGAGACAAGTTGGGTGACGTCTGCCTCACCAACTACCTCACGTGTAGTATTCTCTTCTGTGTAGGTGCTTGGGCAAAGGGTATCACTATAAATAGAAATATGCAAGAACAAAAGTAGCCTCAAATTTGCTTCTAGCTATTTTCTTGTTAGTCTGTAAACTATTTAAGCTGATTGCTAATGGGGCTAGAGCGCTGCCCTGCAGCAACTCAAGAGGAAGGAAGGAACTGCAGAACGGGACGCTCTTTTTCATATCCCTTTGCAACCTTCCTATGCAGGATTCAGATCATGCTGTTCCCTCATATCATGTCATCAAAAGGGAGTGCGTGGGCCTCTGATTTTCACTTCTGAAGGAGAGGGGAAGGGAAAGAGTTCTTTAGTCTTGGGGCCCGATCCTACTAGCACTTGCAAGTGTGACTATCTTTACTCACTGGAGTATTCCCATTTACTTCAATGAGTAAAGTTATGCACATCCTGCAAATTAAGGGCAGGCTCTGGCTCTTATTCGGTGAGCAAAATGACTAAGGGATAGGAAATTTGACTTCCCACCAAAGCCTAACTGCAATGAGAAAAATATTAACCGTTCCAGTGTAGTGGATTCATGGAAAGAGGTGAGCAGAATGATGAAAATCTAGCCATGGAACACTGAACACACTGATATCTTAAATATTAAAGAGTTACTCTGGTGAAAAATTACTTTACATAGACAGTTGCATAGGGTTTGCCTACTGATTTATGAAAGTTGTCTGTTTGAACTTCAGAATTAGCAGCTACAGAATGAAATAAATCACATGTAAAATATCAAAAACCTGAATGATTTGGATCTTCCCACTGTGCTCCAAAGCCAGGATCACATGCCGACTCTCACTAGCCTTCAGATAAACTAGCTGCAGCAGCCACTGCTCATCATCTTTGCTGTCATTTGTGACAGGCAAAGCTTTAATTTCCTGCCCACTTCCAAAATCCCAGATTTTCAACGTTCCTGAACAAGAAGGACAAAAACTGTTAAACACAAAACATGTATTTTCAATTCAGAAACCTGACAAGTCCCAAATAGCAAAAAGAGAGAAAACACAGCTGCATCACATTTCCCATTTCTACAGGTCTGATGTTTGGTATTTTAATACTGCTTCACAGAAGCATGTGGTTGGGATAGACTAATTCACCAGGTATCTGCTGTGGGGGAGGGCGGGGCAGGGTTGGCAGGAAGCGTGTATGTAGGGATCCCTTACAAATATTCAATCAGCCAATTGCAGGGAATATTGATGTGATTTCCCTGCCTCATATGGACCCTTTCCCTTTCTAGACACTGCTAAAATCTTCCATGCTAGAAATAATTTATCTTGGGGCTCAAAAACCCCTTCCTTCAATTTCCTTCAATGTGTTGGCTGAGTTATTTCAAAGTCAAATGTAAGCTCTTTAAGGCTTATTTATTTAATTCTGTTTGTACAATGAGCCCCTGACCAGCATTAGGACCTTTGTAAAAGCATCAACCACCAGATATTTTTCAGAAATATCTCCTGGGGCAGGACAACAGTCTGCCTGCAAGGTCTGTTCACACTTCAGATAATGTAAATTCAACCCTGGGCTTCCTTGATTGTGGGCATGCAAAAGCATTTTTGCCTAAATGGAAAACAATGGAATAGATTCTCCAATCCCTCACCTCTCCTCTCAGTGAGCACAGTTATATGGGGTTATCAGACGTTGCCATTGCCAACAGACCACTATTCTGTCCTTCTCCACGCCTATTTTGCATTTCCTGCTTCTGTGCCAAGCCCACAAAAGGGCAGAAAGGGAGCCAGCAAGGCACAGATCTTCCAATCTGAGAGAGCGGCAAGGTTGAGAGTGACATGGCTCACTACCAGACTTTCTCTCAAAATGAGGGGGTGGAAAGAGAGGCTGAAGCACTTTCTGAAGGAGCAGCTACCACCTGGGATCCACCCTTGTCATGTGGAGCTACTGACCCTGACAACAGCTTTCCCTTCTGAGTAGCCCCTAAGCCCTGTGGGCAAAGTATCTCAGGTAAATGGTGCAAATAAAGGGCAGTATGCTCAAGTGGAAATAATCTGGCCTGCATGCTTTGTGACAGAGGCCACGTCCTCTTCATGAGGCACCTTGTGTATTTCTGGAATATCCCAACATTTCTTGGTGCTGCACTTCTTAACATTTCAATAAACCCTGAAGTTTCAGAATTATGCAGCCATGCTAATTGATTAATCAATTATTAAAGTTTACTGAAGAATTCAGTGCAGGTCTGGTAAATAAACGGAGAAGCCTTGTCATACAATCTCAAACTAACATGCCATACATTACATGACATGTTGCATACCGGAAAATACACTAACTATGTATAGTGTACAGAGTCAGCAAATCCTATAAAACTGAGTTTCCCCTTTTCATTTTAACTACTTTACTCCAGTTGCTCACAGTTTCCTCATTAAAATGCCTTCTGGGCTGAAGATATTCATGCTTGGGCTTAGCCCACAATAATTAAATTTTTTTGAAAGTTTGAGCAAAATTGGTTTTGTTATTTTTGAATTATACGAAGATGGAAAAAATGCACTTAGCCTACATGTTCCTATCATAACCTTGGTTTTTGCGTATCAATAACACTTAAGATTGAAACTCAAACCTTGGCTTGTTTTAGAGCTTTCTTTGAGGAGTGAAATGCATGCCCCGCTTGAAGCAGGTCCGTTCAGTATTTTTGAAGTGGTGAACATTTAAATTTGGAGTGTGCACACATTTTGCCATGCACAGGTGCTGGAACTAGAGGTGTGGGAGGTAGCACCCCCTGGCTTGAAGTGGTTTCCATCATATACAGGGTTTATAGTTTGGTTCAATGGCTCTCAGCACCCCCTCTATACAAATTGTTCCAGCACCAGTGCTGCCATGTTTTCATGCAGCCTCCTTGAGTGGCAGGGTTGAGAATGTTAAGGACAGCTGAGTGAAAGATGCCTGTTAAGCTAATTTAGTCCTCCTGAGTGAAGGGCACCTCAGTTTCATCCCTTCTCCCCTTTCTTACAAGAAGATGAGCAAGGGAAATTGAAAGCAAAAACCTGTCATCAAAACAGTGTTAACATTGAGAATTCAAGCACACAAGAGTCAGAAAATTCCAAGAAGATATCAGGGTTTCTAACACTGCAGTAACTGCCACACTGCATATAGGATGGATTTTCTTCAGGTGTCTGTTTCAATGTAATCCTTACTCTAATTCTGTTCATTCTAAGTAACGTAGAGCAGGGCTGACGGGTTCCAGACTGCTTCAGGCTTTATGCAGCAAGGCACGACACTCTCAGGTATTCACAGGGTACTTATTCCAGACCCCCCAGAGAAGTATCATATCATGGAACAGTCCCTGTAGTCCAGTGCAGACTATTACAGCCTCTTGTCCTTCATGCCATTCATGTCTAGCTCCTAAGCCCTGAGGGAAAGATCTTCTTGGACTAGAAGCCAGGCAGACAGAGCCAAAGGCCATTTTCCATAAAGCCTAAAATTGCCTTTCAAAGGCCTGATTCCCAAATTAGATCCAGCTGTAATTCTCCTTTCAGGCGTGACAGCTTTCATACTCCTTTCAGGCCAGGCAGGTATTTTTCTTGTCCTGCAAGGACGCTTACTAACCTCTCCCCTCTCTGACTGGAGGCGGGGTACATACACCCTGGTACACAAGAGGCATGTCCACACTTTGAGCTGAAGGTGTAAATTTCAGCTCAAGGAGACATACCTGGACTAGTTTGGGTCGAGCTAGCATGCTAAAAATAGAGCGGCACTGTGGCAGTACCAATGGTAGGAAAGGTTTGCTGCCCCAAGTACCACCCTGTCCAATAGACTATGTATGTACTTGGGGCAGATAGCCTGTTCCACATCTTGTGCTGCTGTGGCTACACTCAATTTTTAATGCACTAGCTTGATCACAGCTAGCCCAGGTAGGTCTATTCAAGCTCCAGAGGTAGGATGTACTACACAGTTAAGTCAAATTGCATGGAGAAGCTTAGTTTGTGGTATTTATTTAAAGTTATGCCATGTCTCTATTTTATTGCTATTTATTGCATTTAATATAAAGGGGTGGTAGTGGCCAGATCCATACGAAACAGCACCAGTCCAGTTTTGCAGAAGCTTTTTGAAATTGGACCCCAATCCAACATGGTTTCAGGTGGGTTCCAAGCAAACTGTTCTCACAGCCCTGGTCACAATATAGTATCTCATTCTAAAACGAGAACAGAATAGTAATGATAATTCAATTGTTTTACCATCATAGGCCCCTGTAGCAAGGTGAAACCCATTTTTATCAATTGCTGCACAGGTCACTTCAATATTAGGCCCATGGGCATCTTCAATCTGGTAGATTTGGTGCCCGGATTCTAGCTCCCAGACCTATAAAAAAAATTAAAATTATTTGCAGTCCATCCGACAAAAATCCCCACACCATGTGTTATAAGTTGGCTGCCAAAACACGCTGAATAAATGACGGTCATATATCCCATAAAATATGCTTCTTGATAGTACAGCAGACTCAACAGCACAATATTCACAATTGCTCTCTCTATAACTCCAAAAATCTTTGGCACCCTAAGGAAGCCATTCTAGCAAAGATAGCCTATTTTCACTAGTCACATGAAATAGATTATTTTTAAGTTAGAGATAGGAATGGTTAAATATAATGAGTTTTTTAGTATACAGAAAAAAAGGAAAACTAGCTACAAACAGGGCCAGCCCTAGAACAAATGGTGCCCCAGGCAAGGAGCATCTTCGGTGCCCCCCTCCATTTGTTAAACTTTTGAATACCTTACTTTTTATTGCATTTGTAGCCCATTTCATGACTGATGCACAATTTGCATGCATGATTTATCCCAGTTACAGAATCATAGAATATCAGGGTTGGAAGGGACCTCAGGAGGTTATCTAGTCCAACCCTTTTTATTACTGACCTGGGCACAAAAAGTGGGAGTGTGCTAATAAAGTTTGCAGATGATACAAAGCTGGGAGGTATTGCTAATTTAGAGAAGGACAGGGATACCCTACAGGAGGATCTGGATGACCTTGTAAACTGGAGTAATAGGAATAGGATGAAATTTAATAGTGAGAAGTGTAAGGTCATGCATTTAGGGATTAATAACAAGAATTTTAGTTATAAGCTAGGGACGCATCAACTAGAAGTAACGGAGGAGGAAAAGGACCTTGGAGTATTGGTTGATCATAGGATGACTATGAGCTGCCAATGTGATATAGCTGTGAAAAAAGCTAATGTCATCTTGGGATGCATCAGGAGAGGTATTTCCAGTAGGGATAAGGAGGTTTTAGTACCATTATATAAGGCACTGGTGAGACCTCACCTGGAATACTGTGTGCAGTTCTGGTCTCCCATGTTTAAGAAGGATGAATTCAAACTGGAACAGGTACAGAGAAGGGCTACTGGGATGATCCGAGGAATGGAAAACTTGTCTTATGAAAGGAGACTCAGGGAGCTTGGCTTGTTTAGCCTAACTAAAAGAAGGTTGAGGGGAGATATGATTGCTCTCTATAAATATATCAGAGGGATAAATACCAGAGAGGGAGAGGAATTATTTAAACTCAGTACCAATGTGGACACAAGAACAAATGGATATAAACTGGCCACTAGGAAATTTAGATTAGAAATTAGACGAAGGTTTCTAACCATCAGAGGAGTGAAGTTTTGGAATAGCCTTCCGAGGGAAGTAGTGGGGGCAAAAGATCTATCTTGCTTTAAGATTAAACTCGATAAGTTTATGGAGGAGATGGTATGATGGGATAACATGGTTTTGGTAATTAAATATTCATGGTAAATAGGCCCAATGGCCTGTGATGGGTTTTTAGATGGGGTAAGATCCAAGTTACCCGGGAAAGAATTTTCTGTAGTATCTGGCTGATGAATCTTGCCCATATGCTCAGGGTTTAGCTGATCGCCATATTGGGGTCGGGAAGGAATTTTCCTCCAGGGCAGATTGGAAGGCCCTGGAGGTTTTTCGCCTTCCTCTGTAGCATGGGGCACGGGTCACTTGCTGGAGGATTCTCTGCTCCTTGAGGTCTTCAAACTACAATTTGAGGACTTCAATAGCACAGATATAGGTGTGAGGTCTTTTTTAGGAGTGGTGGGTGAAATTCTGTGGCCTGCATTGTGCAGGAGGTCAGACTAGATGATCATAATGGTCCCTTCTGGCCTAAATATCTATGAACCCCCTGCTCAAAGCAGGACCAATCCCCAACTAAATCATCCTAGCCAGGGCTTTGTCAAGCCTGACCTTAAAAACCTCTAAAGAAGGAGATTCCACCATCTCCTTAGTCTCTCGGTCCCTAGTCTGTAGCAGTGCATGGGATTCTTCTGTCCTAAGTGCAGGACTCTGTACTTGTCTTTGTCGAACCTCAGATTTCTTTTGGCCCAATCCTCTAATTTGTCTCTAAGTCCCCCTGTATCCTATCCCTACCCTCCAGCGTATCTACCACTCCTCCCAGTTTAGTGTCATCTGCAAGCTTGCTGAGGGTGCAGTCCACACCATCCTCCAGATCATTAATGAAGATATTGAACAAAAACAGCCCCAGGACCGATTCTTGGGGCACTCCACTTGATACTGGCTGCCAACTAGAAATAGAGCCATTGATCACTACCCGTTGAGCCCAACGATCTATCCAGCTTTCTATTCACCTTATAGTCCATTCATCCAGCTCATACTTCTTTAACTTGCTGGCAAGAATGCTGTGGGAGACCATATCAAAAGCTTTGCTAAAGTCAAGGAATAACACGTCCACTGCTTTCCTCTCATCCACAGAGCCAGCTATCTCATTATAGAAAGCAATTAGATTAGTCAGGCATGACTTGCCCTTGGTGAATCCATGCTGGCTGTTCCTGATCACTTTCCTCTCCTCTAAGTTCTTCAGAATTGATTCCTTGAGGACCTGCTCCATGATTTTTCCAGGGATTGAGGTGAGGCTGGCTGGTCTATAGTTCCCCGGATCCTCCTTCTTCCCTTTTTTAAAGATGGGCACTACATTAGCCTTTTTCCAGTCATCCAGGACCTCCCCCGATCACCATGAGTTTTCAAAGATAATGGCCAAGGGCTCTGGAATCACATCTGCCAACTTCTTTAGCACCCTCGGATGCAGCGCATCTGGCCCCATGGACTTGTGCTCGTCCAGCTTTTCTAAATAGTCCCAAACCACTTCTTTCTCCACAGAGGGCTGGTCACCTCCTCCCCATGCTATGCTGCCCTGTACAGTAGTCTGGGAGCTGACCTTGTTTGTGAAGACAGAGGCAAAAAAAGCATTGAGTATATTAGATTTTTCCACATCCTCTGTCACTAGGTTGCCTCCCTCATTCAGTAAGGGGCCCACACTTTCCTTGACTTTCTTCTTGTTGCTAATATACCTGAAGAAACCCTTCTTGTTACTCTTAACATCTCTTGCTAGCTGCAACTCCAAGTGTGATTTGGCCTTCCTGATTTCACTTCTGCATGCCTGAGCAATATTTTTATACTCCTCCCTGGTCATTTGTCCAGTCTTCCACTTCTTGTAAGCTTCTTTTTTGTGTTTAAGATCAGCAAGGATTTCACTGTTAAGCCAAGCTGGTCGCCTGCCACATTTACTATTCTTTCTACACATCGGGATGGTTTGTTCCTGTAACCTCACTAAGGATTCTTTAAAACACAGCCAGCTCTTCTGGACTCCTTTCCCCCTCATGTTATTCCCCCAGGGGATCCTGCCCCTCAGTTCCCAGAGGGAGTCAAAGTCTGCTTTTCTGAAGTCCAGGGTCTGTATTCTCCTGCTCTCCTTTCTTCCTTGTATCAGGATACTGAACTCGACCTTCTCATGGTCACTGCCTCCTAGGTTCCCCTCCACTTTTGCTTCCCCTACTAATTCTTCCCCGTTTGTGAAGCAGGTCAAGAAGAGCTCTGCCCCTTGTTGGTTCCTCCAGCACTTGCACCAGGAAATTGTCCCCTACCCTTTCCAAAAACGTCTTGTATTGTCTGTGCACCACTGTATTGCTCTCCCAGCAGATATCAGGGTGATTGAAGTCTCCCATGAGAACAAGGGCCTGCGATCTGGTAACTTCTGTTAGTTGCCGGAAGAAAGTCTCATCCACCTCATCCCCCTGGTCTGGTGGTCTATAGCAGACTCCCACCATGACATCCCCTTTGTTGCTCACACTTCTAAACTTAATCCAGAGACGCTCAGGCTTTTCTGCAGTTTCATATCAGAGTTCTGAGCAGTCATACTGCTCCCTTACATACAATGCAACTCCCCCACCGTTTCTGCCCTGCCTGTCCTTCCTGAACAGTTTATATCCATCCACTCCAGTCATGTGAGTTATCCCACCAAGTCTCTGTTATTCCAATCACATCATAATTTCTTGACTGTGCCAGGACTTCCAGTTCTCCCTGCTTGTTTCCCAGGCTTCTTGCATTTGTGTATAGGCACTTAAGATAACTCGCTGATCATCCCACTTTCTCAGCATGAGGCCCTACCCTCTTGTACTATCCTGCTCGTGCTTCCTCCTGGTATCTCACTTCCCCACTTACCTCAGGGCTTTGGTCTCCTTCCCCTGCTCATACAAGACTATAAACTTGCACACTAGGATCCTTAAATCTGTACTTATTCATGCCATATGTAAGCAAATAAAAAAAATTGTTTCCTCTAAGCTTATAGAAACTTTTATATTGTTGTGTAGATAGGGGTTCGATAGATAGCTCTGGCCTCTCATTAAATATGTCCTTTATTGGTCTCTTCTTACACTCTTCAAGTCTTAAAACACAAGTACACTTTCACAATTACACAATAAAACAAGGTTCACAATATTGCAGCTGGGCTCTCACTTCAGTTCGTTCTTATATCTCACTGACTGGCAACACACCATCTCTTATAGACCCACAAGGGCATGGCTGACAACATTCTAAGAGGTTTGAGGACAATGTAGTTCTCAAAGTCTGGAAGGTTCTATGAACATTTTAGGAACTTAGCAAAAAATGAATCCACATACAAAATACCTGAAACCTTTTAATTCAAACATTCTATTTCCCCTTTTGTCACTAACAACAAAAACAGTACCCCGAGCCAAGCCTGGTGCCCTCCAAGCCCAGCACCCGAGATGGTCGCCTGATCCTAAATCTGGCCCTGGCTACAAGGAAGGGATGAATCAATTATGTTGGAGTATCCAACATGTGTGTCCTTTAAGGATTTGTTTCTCAAGTGAAGCAATAATGTTATATGATAATTATATAAGCCTTTCAGGGCAGGGACTCTCCCTTACTATGTCTTTCTACAGCAACTAGCATGAGGTCCCAATCCTGAGCAAGGCGTCTGGGTGTGACTGTGAAGCAAATAGCCTCATTTCTCAGACTATAACTAGCCTTTCAAAAGTGGCTACTAACTTTGGCTGCCCCAGCTGGACCCAATTTTCAGTAATGTTGAACATCCATACCTAGAGCTGGGTTAATAATTGATTTTTCGCTTTGGCCAGAAAACTGAAAATATTAGAAAAAAATATTTGCTTTGATTCTGAAAATATTCAGAGTTTGTCAAAATTCAAGTCCCTTCCGCAATGAATATTTAAGTATTTATACAAAGTGGAGCAGCTGCAACAGGAGAGGTTGAGACTAACCCACTCTAGACTAGCCTAGAGCCTGATGGTTGAGCTATTCAACTGGGAGGAGCTGAGATCAAGTCCTGCTCCAAAGGGGGGATTCAAACATGGGTCTTCCACATTCAGAAACATGCCCTAACCATTGGGTTAAAGGTTAAAAGAGGACAGGGACATGGACACATGCATGAGTTTTCTGAAGCTGAGCCTTGAAAAAAAAAAAATTTGTCTTGGCTGAAACTGGGTCAAATTTACCAATAGTTTCACACACCATTTTTTGGCAAATAAACTGTTGGTCTGAAAATTTTTGCTCAGCTCTACCCATAACTCCATGTGAAGTCAACAAGAACTGTGGGTGCTCAGCCCCTCTGATCATCAAGCTGTAGAAGTCAGCTGCAGGGCACTGAAAATTAACGTCCAATTTTGCTTATAGCTTTTCTGACATATTTATAGCAAGGGGGTTTAGTTGGTTCATATTTAAATCACTGCATTTATTGGCAAAATTAGTCCTTTTTTCATGCTTCTACAACAAATAGAGATGGACCAAAACTGGCATCTTTGATCCAAATTTTTGATTTTCAGGGTGGGAAAAAGAAAACAATTTCCCATAATTCAGGGCTAAAAAATCTCACAATGTTGTGACACTGTTCAATCCAATTCAGAATTGGATTCTGATGTAATTAAATTAGTGCTAAAGCCTATAGAATAGAAGAGGTTGTGATCCAGTTTTTTTCTGAGTCATCCTATGCAATTCTATAGGAAGGATAAAATTCTCTATTAAAGTCTACAGAAAGGCTATTTATTCAATTCTATAAGGCTTCTACAGTAAGGGCAATGTCCTTCTATTCTGTGTGCCTCTTAGCGCCAGGAGTATTGCCTCCCTATTGCTCTTCCGCTGTTGGCGAGTCCACAGTGAGTCTTCCTGGCTGACTTCCTGACCTCCACATGCGGCTTATGTACCCATCCTTGGTTCCTTGGCCTGAAGAGAGAGATGGAAACTGGCAGCAGGGGGAACTGATCATGTTGGTTACAGACTGCCTCTCTGGCACAGAGAAAGGGAATGTTGGGGTTCACTCCAGGGAAAGTGTCTCCATATTCAAGAAATAAGCCAGCTCCTACATACTCAGCACTTGAGAATTAGCCAGTTTCCTAAAGACTTTAAGACACAGACAAAGAATTAAAAATATGCTAGGTGCTTTACAAAGTATGAAGAAAAGTGGCAAAATGTTCAGAAGTGCTTAAGAATCAGATTTTAAAAAGGTATTTAGATGCATAAGTCCCACTGAAATCAATAGGAGCTTGGTATCTAGGTGCTTTTGAAAATCCTACTTGCTGTCTATCTGCATTTTCAGGCAGATAAATACCTTCTAATGTATGGCCCTAAGTGACATAGCCCTGGTCTACACTAGGACTTTAGGTCGAATTTAGCAGCGTTAAATTGATGTAAACCTGCACCCGTGCACACGATGAAGCCCTTTATTTCGACTTAAAGGGCTCTTAAAATTGATTTCCTTACTCCACCCCTGACAAGTGGATTAGCGCTTAAATCTGCCTTGCCAGCTCGAATTTGGGGTACTGTGGACACAATTCAACGGTATTTGCCTCCGGGAGCTATCCCAAAGTACTCCATTGTGACTGCTCTGGACAGCACTCTCAACTCAGATGCACTGGCCAGGTAGACAGGAAAAGAACCGCGAACTTTTGAATCTCATTTCCTTTGGCCAGCGTGGCAAGCTGCAGGTGACCATGCAGAGCTCATCAGCAGAGGTGACCATGATGGAGTCCCAGAATCGCAAAAGAGCTCCAGCATGGACCGAACGGGAGGTACGGGATCTGATCGCTGTATGGGGAGAGGAATCCATGCTCTCAGAACTCTGTTCCAGTTTTCGAAATGCCAAAACCTTTGTCAAAATCTCCCAGGGCATGAAGGACAGAGGCCATAACAGGGACCCGAAGCAGTGCCGCATGAAACTTAAGGAGCTGAGGCAAGCCTACCAGAAAACCAGAGAGGCGAACGGCCACTCCGGGTCAGAGCCCCAAACATGCCATTTCTATGATGAGCTGCATGCCATTTTAGGGGGTTCAGCCACCACTACCCCAGCTGTGTTGTTTGACTCCTTCAATGGAGATGGAGGCAACACGGAAGCAGGTTTTGGGGACGAAGATGATGATGAAGAGGAGGTTGTAGACAGCTCACAGCAAGCAAGCGGAGAAACCAGGTTTTCCGACAGCCAGGAACTGTTTCTCACCCTGGACCTGGAGCCAGTACCCCCTGAACCCACCCAAGGCTGCTTCCTGGACCCGGCAGGCGGAGAAGGGACCTCTGGTGAGTGTACCTTTTAAAATACTATACATGGTTTAAAAGCAAGCATGTGAAAGGATTAATTTGCCTGGCGTTCGTGCCTCTCCTGGATGTACTCTCAAAGCCTTTGCAAAAGGTTTCTGGGGAGGGCAGCCTTATTGTGTCCTTCATGGCAGGACACTTTACCACTCCAGGCCAGTAACACGTACTCGGGAATCATTGTACAACAAAGCATTGCAGTGTATGTTTGCTGGCGTTCAACAACATCCGTTCTTTATCTCTCTGTGTTATCCTAAGGAGAGTGAGATATCATTCTTGGTCACCTGGCTGAAATAGGGTGCTTTTCTTCAGGGGACACTCAGAAGAGCCCATTCCTGCTGGGCTGTTTGCCTGTGGCTAAACAGAAATGTTCCCCGCTGTTAGCCACGGGGAGGGGGGAGGGTTGAGGGAGTAGCCACGCGGTGGGGGGAGGCAAAATGCGACCTTGTAACGAAAGCACATGTGCTATGTATGTAATGTTAACAGCAAGGTTTACCCTGAAAGAGTGTAGCCACTGTTTTATAAAATGTGTCTTTTTAAATACCGCTGTCCCTTTTTTTTTCTCCACCAGCTGCATGTGTTTCAATGATCATAGGATCTTCTCCTTCCCAGAGGCTAGTGAAGATTAGAAAGAAAAAAAAATGCACTCGAGATGAAATGTTCTCCAAGCTCATGCTGTCCTCCCACACTGACAGAGCACAGACGAATGCGTGGAGGCAAATAATGTCAGAGTGCAGGAAAGCACAAAATGACTGGAAGGAGAGGTGGCGGGCTGAAGAGAGTAAGTGGCGGGCTGAAGAGAGGGCTGAAGCTGAAATGTGGCGGCAGCGTGATGAGAGGAGGCAGGATTCAATGCTGAGGCTGCTGGAGGACCAAACCAGTATGCTCCAGTGTATGGTTGAGCTGCAGCAAAGGCAGCTGGAGCACAGACTGCCACTACAGCTCCTGTGTAACCAACCGCCCTCCTCCCCAAGTCCCATAGCCTCCACCCCCAGACGCCCAAGAACGCGGTGGGGGGGCCTCCGGCCAACCAGCCACTCTGCCACAGAGGATTGCCCCAAAAAAAGAAGGCTGGCATTCAATAAATTTTAAAGTTGTAAACTTTTAAAGTGCTGTGTGGCATTTTCCTTCCCTCCTCTACCACCCCTCCTGGGCTACCTTGGTAGTCATCCCCCTATTTGTGTGATGAATGAATAAAGAATGCATGAATGTGAAGCAACAATGACTTTATTGCCTCTGCAAGCGGTGATCGAAGGGAGGAGGGGAAGGGTGGTTAGCTTACAGGGAAGTAGAGTGAACCAAGGGGCGGGGGGTTTCATCAAGGAGAAACAAAGAGAACTTTCACACCGTAGCTTGGCCAGTCATGAAACTGGTTTTCAAAGGTTCTCTGATGCGTACCGCGCCCTCCTGTGCTCTTCTAACCGCCCTGGTGTCTGGCTGCGTGTAACCAGCAGCCAGGCGATTTGCCTCAACCTCCCACCCCGCCATAAACGTCTCCCCCTTACTCTCACAGATATTGTGGAGCACACAGCAAGCAGTAATAACAGTGGGAATATTGGTTTCGCTGAGGTCTAACCGAGTCAGTAAACTGCGCCAGCGTGCCTTTAAACGTCCAAATGCACATTCTACCACCATTCTGCACTTGCTCAGCCTGTAGTTGAACAGCTCCTGACTACTGTCCAGGCTGCCTGTGTACGGCTTCATGAGCCATGGCATTAAGGGGTAGGCTGGGTCCCCAAGGATACATGTAGGCATTTCAACATCCCCAACAGTTATTTTCTGGTCTGGGAATAAAGTCCCTTTCTGCAGCTTTTGAAAGAGACCAGAGTTCCTGAAGATGCGAGCATCATGTACCTTTCCCAGCCATCCCACATTCATGTTGGTGAAACGTCCCTTGTGATCCACCAGAGCTTGCAGCGCTATTGAAAAGTACCCCTTGCGGTTTATGTACTCGGCGGCTTGGTAATCCGGTGCCAAGATAGGGATATGGGTTCCGTCTATGGCCCCACCACAGTTAGGGAATCCCATTGCAGCAAAGCCATCCACTATGACCTGCACATTTCCCAGGGTCACTACCCTTGATATCAGCAGATCTTTGATTGCGTGGGCTACTTGCATCACAGCAGCCCCAACAGTAGATTTGCCCACTCCAAATTGATTCCCAACTGACCGGTAGCTGTCTGGCATTGCAAGCTTCCACAGGGCTATCGCCACTCGCTTCTCAACTGTGAGGGCTGCTCTCATCTTGGTATTCATGCGCTTCAGGGCAGGGGAAAGCAAGTCACAAAGTTCCATGAAAGTGCCCTTACGCATGCGAAAGTTTCGCAGCCCTGGGAATCGTCCCAGACCTGCAACACTATGCGGTCCCACCAGTCTGTGTTTGTTTCCCAAGCCCAGAATCGGTGTTCCACAGAATGAACCTGCCCCATTAGCACCATGATGCATGCATTGGCAGGGCCCATGCTTTCAGAGAAATCTGTGTCCATGTCCTGATCACTCACGTGACCGCCCTGACGTCGTCTCCTCTCCCGGTATCGCTTTGCCAGGTTTTGGTGCTGCATATACTGCTGGATAATGCGTGTGGTGTTTAATGTGCTCCTAATTGCCAAAGTGAGCTGAGCGGCCTCCATGCTTGCCTTGGTATGGCGTCCACACAGAAAAAAGGCGCAGAACGATTGTCTGCCGTTGCTCTGACGGAGGGAGGGGCGACTGACGACACGGCTTACAGGGTTGGCTTCAGGGAGCTAAAATCAACAAAGGGGGTGGCTTTACATCAAGGAGTATTTCAGGCAGGACTTCACGGAGGGTTCCAATAAGAAATGGTGCACCTAAGTTATTGTTCTTATTGGAACAAGGACGTTAGCCTGGCCTCTGATTGATACATGGCTAGATTTACCTCGCTGCACCTTCTCTGTGAGTGACTACAGTGTGACCTAGAGGAATGAGTCCCCTAGACGGGGGAAGCAAATGAGTACAAAACAAATCTGGTCTATTTCTTGTTTTGATCCACTCCATCTATCTTTTATCTTTGGCTGGCCGCAGATGGTGCAGAAGGACTGCAAGCAATCCACATCTCATGGCTGCTCGGCAGAAGATGGTACAGTTCGACTGCTAGCCATCCTCATCTCTTGCCTGCCCGGCAGAAGATGGTACAGTATGACTGCTAGCAATCTGTATCGCCTGCCTGCTCACCATAAGACGGTTCAATGGGACTGACTGCAGGACTAAAGAGAATGACCTGGTCAAGTCACTCCAAATTTAGTCCCTGCGCCCATGTCTGCCCAGGCGCTCCCGGCCGATGTGGCCAGGAGCACCTCGGACACAACGATGATGGCTACCAGTCGTATTGCACCATCTGCTGCCAGAAGGCAATGGGTTGCTGCTACTGTGTAGCCATGCAGTACCGCGTCTGCCAGCACCCAGGAGCCATAGGGTGACGGTTACCTGAGCGGGCTCCATGCTTGCCGTGGTATGGCGTCTGCACAGGTAACTCAGGAAAAAAGGCGCAAAACGATTGTCTGCCCTTGCTTTCACGGAGGGAGGGAGGGAAGGGTGGCCTGACGATATGTACCCAGAACCACCCGCGACAATGTTTTAGCCCCATCAGGCATTGGGATCTCAACCCAGAATTCCAATGGGCAGTGGAGACTGCGGGAACTGTGGGATAGCTACCCACAGTGCAACACTCCGGAAGTCGACTCTAGCCTCGGTACTGTGGAAGCACTCCGCCGAGTTAATGCTCTTAATGCACTTAGAGCATTTTCTGTGGGGACACACACACTCGAATATATAAAACCGATTTCTAAAAAACCGACTTCTATAAATTCAACCTTATTCCGGAGTGTAGACATACCCATGGGAACCTAAGACTCATTGAGAGTCAATAGGAGACAGGATTCTAAGTGCCTAAATCCCTTTTGAAAATATCACTGAGGCTCAGGTACTTTTTTTAAACATTTTACTCAGAGACCCTGCCCAAAAGCTCACATTTGAAACAGGCAACTCAGATTGAGGAAGGGGGGGATCAATTAAAAAAAAACAACCACCCAGCTTTTTATGTTTGTCTAGTTTGTTAACACTTTTTCTAAGGGAAAGACTAGATAAAGTCTATAGGCTTTACAATAACTGGTCCATTTAAAAAAAAGTATTAGTTATTGTAATTGGACCAATTTCTGTTGGTGAAAGAGTCAAGCTTTTGAGCTCTGCAGAGCTTGTCTCTCTCACCAACAGAAGTCGGTCCAATAAAAGATATTATCTCACCCATGTTGTGTCTCTCATATCCTGGGACCAACATGGATACAACACCACTGCATACAACAAGTGATCTGAAAGAGGAGAGGATGTGGGTATGGCAGACAAAGCCAGCAAGCTGGATCCAGGCCCATCAGCCACATGGAATAAGGTTCAGAGAAGAGAGTAGGGAAAGGATAATAGGAAGGTGACAGTTAAGTCATGTAGGTTGGTGTGACAGGGCAGCTGCTCCAGAGCACCATCTCGTGGACAGAGGTCACTCTGCAGCACCATGCCCTGTTTCCTCTACCTTCTCAGGGTCCTCAGGAACTGCACTCTGCTAGCCTAAAGCTAAATTTAAAACATTCCCCCCTGGGGTCCAATTTATTTGGTCCTTAGACAGTTTGGCCTACAAGACCCCAATGCTAGCATTCAATGTCTTTCTCCCCTTAGGTAGGGAGTCCCCAGCCCCCCTTCTCAGAAGCGGATTCCAGTTCAATCACCACTCCTAGGCTTTACCCAGGTAGAGCTCAACTTTCAGGGTTTGCCTTCCAAATTCCACTCATGTCAAGGTCTTCTTCCTGCCTTAGCGGGCTATTCCCAGTTATCCTCGCTGGGGCAGCTCCCCTCATCTCAGGGTCTTCCCTGCAGGAGACTTTCCTCAGTCTCTACCACAGCTTCCTGAGCCCCCCCCTTTCACTGCAGCCTCCCATAGCTCTTTATTGGGCAATGGCAATCTCCTGACTCCTCTCAGAGGTAGCTTCTTAGTAAGCAGGGTTGGCTGGCCCCACGCCTTCCATCCCTTAGGGCAAGTCAGCCCGTTACCCTTGATTAGAGCAAATTGGGGAGGAATGCTTAACCTTTGATACGGAATCATCTTCTAGTGTTGTAGTTTTTCCAGATTCTACATAGTTTCCAAAGTAATTTTTCATTGTTTAAGTCCCAATTCAGAAAGCCCTTGAGCTGCAATAGGCCATGAGCTCATGCTTACCTTTAAACAGATGCCTAAGTACTGTCCTGAATAGGGATGTGCTCTGGAATCGAGGACTATGTATACATGCTCAAATTCCTCATCCGAAGCATTCTTATATCAGTCACAGCTATTAAACAGCTTTTTGTAGCCACTTAATAACCAATGATCACTGTTTCATAGGCTGAATTAAATTTATATACCAAGATTCATTCCTGTAGGTGTAGCGTGGAACAAAAGCCAAGTGAAGGAAAAGGAGTTCACCATCAAGACCAGATACTCCTCCCCACCCATCCTTCTGGTGCCTAATGTGAAAGAGGAGACTAATTACATTGATTCTGCAGTTCAGCTGAAAGGGTCACCTGATAGAAATAATGCTGCTGTGATGTTAAATGGCTTATTTAGCAGGGATTACCACTTCCCTAGAGAGCTACAGCATAAAAATAGCTGCAGAGATGATGGCTCGCATAACAAACACGATTAACTCTTGCCTAATTGCTCAACAATTTATCTGTGATAAAAGCAACTGCAACATTCCTTTTCTCCCCCAGTTTGAAGGGCGCAAGTTTGTGCTCACCTTCACAATAGATTCGGCACAGACAGTGAGAACTTGATGAAAAGCCCTGTTGTAAGCCAGTACGTTGATGTTTCTTTCGTGTGTTTGTGGAACCTGTTTGGTGTCTTGTATCATCCGGGTTAGAGGATAAATATCAATGACAGATGACCCTGAAAATGGCAAGAGAGGTACTAATACATAACATTTATGTGACTGTGCAAACTGCCATTTGCGGAAATGGATCAACTCTATATAAACCATTGTATTTGATTTGAATTATGCAAGAGAATATAGAGATACCTCTGGCCTGTATTAGTTCTAGAGAATTTCTGCTGTCTGAAGAAAAGTAGAAAATAGTCACCACTCTCAAGCACAACAAACAATCACTAAATTGGAATATTTATCATATTTTGCTGCCTTAGACAATCAACTATCTAATTTTTATGGGAGAGGCAACTTTAGCCCCCAGATCAATAGGAACTAGGGGATTTATAGTTCCAGAGGGGGCCAGTGTAGGAAGGAACAAATTGATTCCTCAATCCTGATTGATAGCAATCTCACTGAGTAAAGCAATCCCAGAAGTCACTTCCTATTGAACAAAGCAAATCCGTCTGTAAGCTATGCTGTCGTTTCAATACCTTGGTTTATGCAGCACTGTAGGTACGCATGGCACTTTGCAGACAAATAAAACCTACATCTCTTTGATCAGAGCATTTACAGTCAAAATGAACCATGGCATAGGGAAATGAGAGAAGGTTGAAGAAGGGTCAGTTTTCAACTGCATAAGCTCACATGCCTATTTGTGCAGTGTACACATGCAAGTTCCCATTTTATTTATTGTAACATAATTGAACTGGTACAAGACTTAGGTTCAGCAGTGGATTTGTAGGAGGAGAAGGTGTCTGCAAGGTGCAGGGTATGATTCCAGACATATGGGACAATACTGGAGAAAGCACCACTGTGCATCTGTCAAAATATGCAAATAGAGCATGTTAGACAGTAGGACTCATCCATAAACATCTGTATCTGTAATGATTTATGGACATGAGAGGATTAAAATCTGAAGCCTTCTATGTAAATACATGTCAAGTAGATGGCAGTGAGGATTAGTTCTCCTATGCATAACTTGGGTCTCTTGCCCTCTCTGGCAGTGAGGAGGAATTCATTTTACCTTTTAATAGAATCGCTAGCAGGGCTTAGTGTTTAGTCATAATCATCCTTGTATGGATTGTAGAACAGTGTGGCGAGACAATTCATCTCACACTAAATCCTCAGCTGAGGAAATATCCAACTATGTATCTGCAAATCCTATAGGATTTAAAACTTTAAATGACCCTTTTCACATATAACTATTTCACTGGCCTTCAGAATAAGATGACACAAACTTTAAGAGACTCAATCAAATGCCAGACTAAACAGAAAGGTCAGGCAGACTAACATCCTTTACAGGAATGTAGGGCGCTTCTGCTGAATCACTCTGGGCACATGTGGTAAGCCCTCTTCAAGAAGGCTCAAGGTAATTGACAAATTAGACAAATCAAATGTTGAGGTACGAGTGGTGGTCTCCTCCCTTTGGAGGGAAACCCTACAAATAGCCAAACCTAGGAGGAAGCTCAGCTGCACTTTATATTACTGAGTCATTGTTTGATTTACCAGCTAAGCCAAACTGCAGGAAGAGTCTGTGCACTCTAAATGGGGTCAGCCCTTTCACAATAGGTGTTTAATTTGGCAACATGGGCTTGTGGTTAAAACTCCGGGTTTAGAGTCAGCAGTTTGAGCTTCTATTCCCTAATGCTGCTACTCATAACCTATGCAGCCTTGGGCAAGTGACAAGTACTATGGCATCCAAATATATGTAAAATATGGGAATCAATAGACTAGATGGACATTTAATAGTTTTCTACATCTCAAATTCTGCACAGGTTTAACATAAAAACTAAGTCTTCTCTTCCCATCCCCTACACCCCAAATGAACAATACTCCTTACGGTAGAGGTTTAAAGAAAAAACAAAAAAACAGGACATGCAACACTGGGCTGCAGCAAATTGGGATTCTTCCCTGCAGCCAATACTTTCACCCCAGCCACAGCGTTCAAACTATTGCTAATGCTGAGACTTGAGTAGCAACCGTAGATCAGGTCTGCTAATGCTCCACAGCCTGGGAAAGGGAGGAATCCTCACATACCTGTACCAGTGAAGATGCCCAGCGCCCAACTCAGCTACATGGGGTGCATGCTGGGAGAAAAACACTGGGCCAAATGCCACTCATCTATGATTTATACCATGTAACTCCCAGTGACTTCATTGGAATTACTCTAGATTTATACTCATGTAACAGAGCTTAATTTGGGCCTCTTTAATACAGTCCAAAATTTGTTATCACTCAGCTGAAGCCTTTTAACAAAGGGACGTAACTATTTATTTTCTTCCATATACAAAACTGAAAATAGATCTTCATTAGAGTGATCAATAGTGCATTAAGAATATTGTTGTTTGGGTGCAAAATGGGAGGCAAGCATTCTGTCAGATTCTTAGCTAACACTTTCAGAACAGGTCCAGAAGATCTAAGCAGTGAATTTCCATCTCTGCAGAAGCACTAAGACTGCTGTCTGAATCTCCACTGTCCTCTGTCACTTCAAAGTTTCAGAAATATTAAATAAGTTTCTTCTTTCCAAGAGACAATGGAGTGCCCAGAAAATAGCGTTGACTCCATGGTCACTGTTCTGTTTTCTATACAATTGTCTTCTTTAAAACAACAACAACAAAACAACCAAAACTTTCAGATATATAGAGTTAGTGAGAAACTGTCACCACCAAGGCTTTGTCTTTTCTAAGAAAAAGAAGTGTATGTTCTTACCTCATGTTAACTAAGGCAAGGTAAAATCTTAGTGAAGACATGGCAGTTTGTAGTTTTTAAATGTTAGCAGGTTAAGGTAAAGATTATACAGGAATCTAGGGTTTACTTTAGTGAGGACGAACTTCAAGATACAGTGAACCAAGTATTTAAATAAGAACATAAGAACGGCCATAGTGGGTCAGATCAATGGTCCATCTAGCCCAGTATCCTGTTTTCTGACACTGGCCAATGCCAGATGCTCCAAAGGGAATGAACAGACCAGGGCAATCATCAAGTGATCCATCTCCTGTCATCTAGTCCCAGCATTTGGCAGTCACTGGCTAAGGACACCCAGAGCAAGGGGTTGCATCCCTGATCATCTTGGCTAATAGCCATTGATGGACATATCCTCCATGAAATTATCAAGTTCTTTTTTTAATCCAGTTATAGTTTTGGCCTTTACAACATCCCTTGGCACCAAGTTCCACAGATTTTTGTATCATCTGCAAACTTGGCCACCTCACTGTTTATCCCTTTTTCCAGATAATTTATGAATAAGCTGAACATGTTGAAATGGGCAGCCTTCCATTCTTCCCTGTTTCTAAGATAAGTTGTTCACATCTTCCCCCAGAAAAAGCAGGGAGCTTCCCTGGAAGGTGGGAAGAGAACCTGCCACCTCACAAAGAGTGTGTTCGAACTGCCAGGCCAGAAGGGAGGGGCTGGCAGCTGGACCCCATTATGTCAGCCAGGAGCCTTTAAAAGGAAAAGTGTAGGCCATGGGGGAAGCTCTTGTTCTCATGTAAGAACACACTTTTCCTGGCGCCCAGACTGACAGGCTCCTGCCTCCAGCAGTCTGGAGGGCAAGACACTCTAAACTCGAGTGTCTTGGGAACTGACTGTGGTTGTAACATTCTCTGAAGAACAGTGACATGGGGAGAGATCCCTTTCAAGGGATTTAAATAAACAACAACAGATGGCAGGGCTGAAAGAGGGTGTAACTGGTTTCATTTTCCTGAAGAGGGGCTCAGCTTTCAAAAATTTGGGAAACTTTGCTTGAGAGAGATCATCTTCTGTGTCTGTCATCTTAAGCCTCTCATGCATATTCCATATTAAAAGGAAAACCAGATTTTATATATAAAATGAAACTCCTCCACCACATCAAATGGAGGGATGCCAAATAGCCTTCATCTGTAAATGCCTCATTAGCCAAGTGTAGAAAATTTCTGTCATGTCCTAGATTTCTGTACGTCCCCCGTATCTAACTTTCTCTACTGTCAGGCCATACTGCTGTCACCTTCTTCAGCGATGTTTCAGAATATGGAAAATCAAAAATTAAAATGAGGGGAAATGTGTTTCTCATTCACTAATTATGTCTACACACCTGTAATAAGCGTGCCATGGTTATTGTCAAATATCATGGCATAGATCTGCATTTCTGCAGGTTTCCCCTGACTATCGTGGAAGATCTGCAGCAGCGAAAGGGTCTGTATATCCCACACTCTAAAAACCTGGAGGAAAAAGAAAGGTGCATGGGTGTCACTATTATATTTCCAACTATTAATAATTTGTATTACTGTAGCAGTTAGCAGCCCCAACAAAGGTCAGGGCCCCACTGCATTAGGTAATGCACAAACACGTAGTCTGAGACAGTCCCTGTCCTGAAGAATTTACAATCTAACTAGACAAGAGAGGCCAAAAGAGCAGCGGTATCCCATTTTATAGAGGGTAAACTGAGCACAGAGTTGGAATTGCCCAATGTCTCAGAAGCAGTCTGTGACGGAGCTAGGATCTTAATCTCATGATAAGCACTGGATGGGAAATGGTTTTCCCATCCCACAAAAATGTTTGAGTTCAAACTTTCCTGGCTCAGTTTGGTACAAAAAATTGAAATCTCAAAAATTTTCCAGACAAAAAAAATTGGGGTTTTTGGTTTATCGGTTTGGATCAATCTAAATGTTTCATTTTGGTACTTTTGAAACGTCTTGTGATGCTGGCCTCTTTTTTAATCGATGTTTTAGTCTAATTAGCGTACATTTTGAAACAAAGTGGTTTTGAACTGGGAAACCAGGTTTTTTGTTTGAAAGTGTCGAAACTAAAAACATTGATAATTTTTTGTGGGGAGGGGGAACTGAGTTGGGAGAGTCATCAAAACTGAGCTGGTTTCATGAAGTTTCAGTTTCAAGGAATATGTGGTTTTTGAATGAAAATTCTCAATGTGTCCCACTCCTGAGTCTTAGTCTACTGCCTTAACAAGATTACCTCAACTTTCCTCTACTTTACCCTTCTCATATACGTGCTGATAAAAAAACCCCAGAGACTAGATGATAGTATTTTCAACATTGTGGCCAGGTTCTCCAATGACAGACCAGGTATACAGTACTTTAACTATAGTCAGTAAGGTTTATTTACATAAATGAATCCAACAGGAAAAGAATGAACAAAAGTGATTTAAGACAGAGCACTTAAATACACCCTGCTTCCACACACATCCCTCACTGCAGTAGCGCCCAGAGGTCCACACACACTGCTCTCAGTACTACCATGTTATGCCATAATTCCATGTTTGAGCACAAAGGATTTCCCAATAAAACAGACATCTTATACCACTAGAAGTTATTCTACCATCACTAGCAACTTCAGGCACAGATACATGCCTAGTCTCCTTCAACAGCCAAACTATGGTAATCTTTTCATGTATGTGCAAGTTACTTGGAGTAATTAAAAAGCATCATTAGATTATACTAGGTGCACCCAGCTTTGACCTTTGACCCATGGCAGGGTGGTGTGTCTATTTTTTAAATATACACGCAAGAGGCGTTAACTCTTATCTTTCCACTGGAAGAAAAGGTTGTGATGGCTCTGTAGTGTGACCAAGTGATTTAGGGTTTTTGAATGAAATACTCTGTACTCAGCAGTCCTTTCAATACAGCAGTAAAAAGCACACCGATTACTCAGCAGTTAACAGATTTTTTTTTAAAACCTTCATTTTAAATACCTTTTATTTGTAAAATCTCACTGGCACCAGAGGGCACAGTTAGAAGAAAATATTACTTTTTATCTTTTCCATTTACTGAGTCCCAGAAATTCCAGGGGACTCGGCTTGTGCCAAAAATAGAAATAATCTGATTAGGATCCTGGAGTTCCTGCTGTATGTTGTGAGCCAGATGGCTGCCTAATGCCTTTTTGAGGTCGTTTAATATCACATCCGTTGCGCAATACCTGTGACTGCTTGATCTCCCACCCTATATTGAATCCCGTGGGAACCAGAGGAATTCAGATGATCAGAGCTCAGATTATCAGAGCTCAGTCAGCAAAGGAAACGGCACCTCACCTGCAGAAAACACATTTCAAATTCCAGATGTCCAAAAAAAAATTTAATGGATATTTGAAGCTACGTCCAATGCATCTATTTTATACACACAAACACATCTCACCTGAAAGGTCTTCAGTTGTGGCCCCTCTCCATCAATGATCGATAGTTAATATTCTCTGCATAAATGGAGTGAAATAATCCACATTCATGGGCCCAAGGACACCACCACACATAGATGGGTCTATGAGCCAGAACCATGGAACCACTGTAGATCTGCCAATGCTCACAATTTAACTGAGAGTCTCTCAGTATTTGGTGGCTTTCTTAAAGCCCCATCTGCTAGAGTCAAGAGCCTGCATGGGCATCTTAACTTTCATTTTAAAAAAAAGTTTCTAGCCTTCAGGTTTACAAAGAAAAGCTTGAAAATGTGAAGCAGTGCACCCTAAAGGCTCTAGCAGGTTAACAAAGAGAACCTGAGATTTGTTTTATTTATTTTTTGAAAAAAGCACACCTCATGAACTTTAAGACAATCTTATTATTGGGAGGGTGGTGGGTGGAAGGGACTCATGATTTTTAAATACTACACTGGGTGAAAGTTTGTGTCCTGTATTATTGAGGAGGTCGGGTGATCATATTGGTCCCTTCTAGCCTTGACATATGTGAATTTATGCCTCATGCTTGAAGTGGGGAAGGAAGGAACAGCTGTATCTGTCTGGGGGTGCTGAGGGCATTGTAACTCCACACTGCAGGGGCAGATATAATACCCTAGAAGCACGAGGTGGGAGTGCACATATTCACCATTGCTACATCTATACTGTTGGCATATATACTGCTAACCAGTCTGTACATAAGGGAGAGAGAGACCATAGTCATGCTGTCATCTGCATTCTGGGATTTGCAACACTGTGGTCAGTGCTGGGCAGCCCCTTCCTCAACTCTCTTGAAGTGTTTCAAGTTATAGAAGTCTCTGTGTCTTATTTTCCGAGCGCATTCACACAAAACTCCCACAATTTAGAAAGAAACACAGGGGGAAGGTGATGACATGCATGCAAAACAAAATCATTCTGAGGATTGTCTTCATTTGGTAGGAGCAGTTACATCTATTACATGAGAAAGAATGTGATCTTGTGGCTAAAGCTCTGGACTGGGACTTGGGAAAAGTGCGTTCTGTTTCCCGCTCTCCCACAAATTTCCTGTGTGACCTTAAGCAACTCACTTCACCTCTATGCCTTGGTCTGTAAAATGAGGATAATGATACTTTCCTACCTCACAGAAATACTGAGACTAAATCAATGATTTCTGAGGAGCTCAGAGGTGAAGAGCATGAAGGTCTTCCAAATAAATGTGCCAGAGACAGGTTTAATTTAGTCTTTTCCCAAAAGGGAGCGCCTCAGCAGGGCCATGTTTATTTTGTATATTAAAATGTTTTACACTCATGCTATACAGTACATGCTTAAATGGTTCCTCAAATCTTGTATCAAAAACGATAATGTAAGACACCTTGAAAAATAGGGCAGCCACATCCACAGCTATAGAAACATACAGAGTTTAGATATCTGCAGACTTCGGTGAAGCTGCAACAGAGCCTTGAGCAGCTGCAGGCATAGATATAGTGTAAGCTATGGGGCTGCTGCACCAGTCCAGGAGGGAGCAATTCTATGCCATGTAGTCTGTTTCTGTGTCCTTGCCTTAGGTCACAATTTATTGATTGGACCAAATCTTAGGCATAATTATTGCCTCTGCTCCCAGGAGCTACAATTCACAAAGGGAAAAGGAGTACTTGTGGCACCTTAGAGACTAACCAATTTATTTGAGCATGAGCTTTCGTGAGCTACAGCTCACTTCATCAGATGCTGTAGCTCACGAAAGCTCATGCTCAAATAAATTGGTTAGTCTCTAAGGTGCCACAAGTACTCCTTTTCTTTTTGCGAATACAGACTAACACGGCTGTTCCTCTGAAAATTCACAAAGGCTTTCTCTTCTTCTCTCTCAGCCTCTCTAGGTCCTTGCCCTAATCCAAGAACTAATGCAAGCGGGGGTGCTGGAACAATTTTTATAGTGGGGGTGCTAATGATGGAAACCATGTGTTTACTGTTACTACTTCAAGCCAGGGAGTGTGGCAGCACCCTAGTTCCAGCACACCAGAGCTTCTCTACAACTCTCCAGGTCAGCAGAACTATTGCTGGCTTTATAAGACCCGGGGCTCATCAGACTATCACCTGACCCATAACCTGAGCTTGGAGGTAACTGATCAGTCACAGGTGGGGCTGGGTCCATGTCCCCTGAAAGGGTCCAGTAATCCTGTGACATATGGTAAGAAGAAAATGCAACTTTTGGGAACTCCCATTCAAGTTAAGATTCTCCAGTGGATCTCCAGGATAGAGCTGCACATTTTAGGGAGGGTGGGTCAGAGGGATTCAAAAAACAAAGATGCATTTAGCAGCTAGATTAAGGGTATTGTTGCATTACATACATGCAACCCCAAGGGATCTTATCTCTGCAACCGGAAAGAAGGACCTAAAAAGGCACTGTTTGCACATTGACTTGACTATTGCAAAAGGACAGTGCCCTGAAACTTGTGGAAGCCACCCATAAGCATAAGCTCATGATAGGAACAGAAACACCAAGAAAAAAAGAAACCAACAGAGTTAAAAGCACAAATATCTAGGACAACAAGAGTAGAGCTCATTTCCAAATGCTTTTCTGATTATTATATTAGATACTACACATAGGCACCCTATAAAAACATACAACAGATTAGACATAAAGCATTTTTTCTTGATCTCTTTCTGCTCACTGTAGGGATATAATTTTGTAAAGCTTTTAATGACATGCTATATAATGAGGTCATCAATAAATTATAAGGAAATTACTTGCAGCCAGTATTACCTCAGAAGTGACCCAAACCATCATTTTATGTGCAACTCAAATACAACCATCCCCAGGATGTTATTAATTTAGAAACTTCTTTGACTTATAGGGAGAGGGCAGATTAAACTTTCATTAAAGTCAGTATGAGCTCTAAAGTAATTGCTCTTTAGTTCATCTCTCCTAGTGTCAAGAAATCAAATCTGACAGGAAGAACATTTAGAAAAACAAAAACATGACATCTGTCAACTTCACAAGGAAAAGCAGTTAGGATCAAATTTATTATGGATGACTCAGAAGAATTAGCACCTTATATTAAAACTGCTC